TTTCTGTTCCTATCTAAGCGTTTTATATTGTAACCATCTATTTTGACCTCGTCGTCAGTCACCGTATCATCCAACCAAGATTCAGAGATGGTTATAACTGCCGCCCTAATTTTGTTAGCTAGAATCCTAATCTCTGCCAATTTAGGAAGAAGTGATCTTGCATTGACATGAATAAAGTGAAGGCCTGTTTTCATAAAACAATCATAATCATCAATATATGGCAATGGGTCATTTGTATTAAAATTAGGTAAATCAATGTCATCACTGCTAAAGGGTAACTGTGCCAAAGTGCATTTGTTACACACAAAATGAATTCTGGCACCGTTGCTATAATTGTCATACATCCATCATGCACCCACCCCTTACACATTTTACATAAGGTGCCTTTTCTGTTTTTCATGCGTGCTTTAGTACAGTGTATGCACCTGTTTGGTAGTGTTTGAGATAATAATGGCTGTATTGTCTCACATTGACCTATGTATGCATTACATATGGAGTTAAGGTTATCATCCCTAGCTACTAGACCGTCATTATTGCCGTCATTTATCTGTCTGTTTTGCCTCTGCACAATAGTTTGAGGTCCTGGATTAATTTGGATATCACCACTTAAGAGCGCTACAATAAGAGCTGTGTGCCACTGTTTCTGTTTAGGTATGCTTATCAATGCATATATATATACAGGAAGAAAAAAATATACACGTCTTTGTGTATTCAAAATTAGCTCACAATTACTAAACTTTTTACCATCGATCATACATTTTTTATGTAAATATAATATCTATGAAAAATAATTTATTTTCAATATTTAAGAGAATTACGATTTGAATAAATCTTATGATGCCGTAAGTTGAACTATGGGAGACGGTAAATAATGATCAGTAAGTCATCTGGTTGAAATTTGACAGCTGAAGATTGATGAAATTCCAGCATCCATTCGTATCTCTCTCTCTCTCTCTCTCTCTCTCTCTCTCTCTCTCTCTCTCTCTCTCTCTCTCTCTCTCTCTCTCAAGGCAAGCTACAGTCACACCATAATTCAGATATTGCTTGCTGCAATATAAATTTATTTTCACAAGTAACATCGAGAGATAAGAGCTAATCGACGTTTCGACCATTATCATGCACACGACAATGGTCACGGACCGACCGCTCCTTTTATCTTCGGATTTTTTTTCATTACACACTAATCTTTTTTCCTTCATTAGTTTGGCTGTTCTGGAGTCACCTACGCTTGCTTTGTTTGATAAAATTATAGGAGTGAATAAACTATGAATGCGTCAGTTTCGTGTTCGTGCGTAGTTAACGTATTAGTCCGTGTGTACGTGTGTAGTGAATGTGTTAGTCCGTGTGTACATGCGTAGTGAATGTGTTAGCCCGTGTGTACATGCGTAGTTAATTAACGTGTTAGTCCGTGTGTACGTGCGTAGTGAATGTGTTAGTCCGTGTGTACGTGCGTAGTTAACGTGTTAGTCCGTGTGTACGTGCGTAGTTAACGTGTTAGTCCGTGTGTACGTGCGTAGTTAACGTGTTAGTCCGTGTGTACGTGCGTAGTTAACGTGTTAGTCCGTGTGTACGTGCGTAGTTAACGGTGTTAGTCCGTGTGTACGTGCGCAGTTAACGTGTTAGTCCGTGTGTACGTGCGTAGTTAACGTGTTAGTCCGTGTGTACGTGCATAGTGAATGTATTAGTCCGTGTGTACGTGCGTAGTTAACGTGTTAGTCCGTGTGTACGTGCGTAGTTAACGTGTTAGTCCGTGTGTACGTGCATAGTGAATGTATTAGTCCGTGTGTATATGCGTAGTGAATGTATTAGTCCGTGTATACGTGTGTAGTGAATGTGTTGCTCCGTGTGTACATGCGTAGTGAATATGTCAGTCCTTGTGTATGTGCGTAGTGAATGAATTATTTAGTGGACGTGTCAGTCCGTGTGTACATGCGTAGTGAATGAATTACTGAGTAGTGAATGTGTCAGTGGCTGCCTTCAATGCGTAACTCCATGTAGTGACGCTAAATCATGCGTAGTGAATGCTTGTCACCCAGCGTACAAAACTGCAAGTGCCATTTTTATCTGCTTGAGTTGCCTGGGTCTTTCTTCACTTCAATAGAGCACATCACAATGCCTCATAAGAAAAACAGGCTATTAGGAATGCAGCAATAAACTGTTTCAATCCAATAAAATGGCCAAATCTATAGAGCTTTGTCGTGTTTACATCAGTATACAACCCGTGTTTTATTAATATCATGCTAGTCTGGTTTATACTATTGTAAAATAGTTACATTCGTAAGTATATTTTTAAAGGGGTGGAGGGGTAAGCCAGTGGAAGATCTCGATCAGATGACCAAAAGCTCCAACTGCGGGTCATATGACTAAGACCCGCGTCAGGAAACACTTGTCCTGTTTCCTGACGATCCTGCCTGACCTTGTCTGGGTGGTTGGCTAAGTGGTAGTATATAAAATGGATTAGTTTATGAATAAAGCACAAGTGTAAGAACTATGAATCTTTACTGGAGAAACGTTCTGCCTGCACTGCGGCTTTTTTTTCCAATTTAGTACAGGGGACAAAATGACGGAGACTTAGTGGAGCCAGTAGAAAAGGTGATGAGTTGCAGCAGTTGATTTTATCGCGGCACTGTATTAAACTGAAATATAGATAAATAGCTCAGAGAACCTACAAGTTGATAAATTAGACACATTTGCAACATTTGGGTACCTTTGTGGAAACGTTTCGCCACACAGTGACTTCATCAGTCCTATAGAAAGAAGAATGTTGAAAATCAGAAGGAGTTTGAGGTAATCAGTCCCTCAGCCTAGAGCCAATGTAATCAGTCCATCAATCTTGATAGGATTCCTTGATACCTCAAACTCCTTTAGATCTTCATTCTTCTTCGTATTGGACTGATGAAGCCACTGTGTGGAGAAACGTTTCCACAAGATACCCATGTGTTGCACTTGTGCCCCATTCATCAACTATCAGTATTTCACACTAGTCTGACACAGCAATACCATGGAATCTGGGTACAAAACTGGTCTCACACCCCACACAGAACCACCACTTCTGCAGGCTATCAGACCAAGAGTCGCCACGGCGATCAGGCTTCAGCCCAGAGTTGAGGCTAGCCCTGAGAACAACCAGTTTTTTGAGTGGTGAGAAGAGCAGCACCATCAACAACTCCCGAGTGACTGAAGACACCGCATCACTAACTGTAGATAACGAGTCGTCGAAAGATTAAGACCCACGTTAGCATGGATCCTGACGAATATTACAAGTACATCCAGCGAACACAAGAACGCCTGCAGCAGGGCGTACAGCATCTTGACTGCAGGACTGCAATCATCCATCACTGGCCATAGGGATGGCATCATTGGGCCCCCGACACAGGTCTATTTATAATACCTATACTTATACTTCACAGATCCTCTTCCGGGAGCCAGTGACTGGTCATCATGTGATAAAGACCCATGTCAAGACATGGTTCCAACCGAATATTTTACATACATTCTGGTCTGTGGTTTATCCTCGCTCAGTTATGACGATAATGATCTACGACGGCGATGAACGTTTAAACTTTCACCTCTGAGTGCTGATTATTTATGAACTGTTCTAGCCATGTCATCTGGACCTACTGGTTACTCTTACATAATATTTACCAGGAATTTCAGCTACAATAGTACGTGTTGTCGCATTTAAGGAGTTTTCATCTTGCATATCTGTAAACAAAATTAATTATAATTTCATAATTAATTAATATATATATATATATATATATATATATATATATATATATATATATATATATATATATATATATTTATTTATTTATTTATTTATATTTATTTATTATCACACTGGCCGATTCCCACCAAGGCAGGGTGGCCCGAAAAAGAAAAACTTTCACCATCATTCACTCCATCACTGTCTTGCCAGAAGGGTGCTTTACACTACAGTTTTTAAACTTGCTTGCATTTTCATTTCCAATGTAAAAATGGTGGTCAAAGTTGATGGTGACTTGCGATATTTAACCAACAATGCTTCAGAAAAGCCAATACAAACCATGACGACTCGGGTTATTCAACCGAATATATTTTCCATTATTTTACAATCTGATCTCTGATATAAACGTATAATATTATTGTAATGGATGTTTCCTATTAACGAGTGACGTGCATTTTACAATATTAAATTACTGAAAGGAAGATTCACGAAGTGTATCCATAATTCAAAAACATACACACAAAGCCAGGAGCTGTGACTCAACCCCTGCAACTACAAATAGGTGAGAACACGAGTCGTCTAGGCAGCCTCCTGGGAAGCTACCTGAACTCTGGTCGCCACCAGTCTTAGCTAGCTTCCCGGGAGGCTGCCCAGCTAGTCTGTCTCACTATGTTCTTTCCTCTAAAAGAAACAACACTTGTTTCCATGAATGCACTTGTATATATATATATATATATATATATATATATATATATATATATATTATATATATATATATATATATATATATATATATATATATATATATATATATATATATATATATATATTCAGTGTGTATGTGTGTGTGTGTGTGTGTGTGTGTGTGTGTGTGTGTGTGTGTGTGTGTGTGTGTGTGTGTGTGTGCGTGCACGTGTGTGTGTGTGCGAGCACGTGTGTGTGTGTGCGTGCACATGTGTGTGTGTGCTTCATTAATCAGGTTTGCAGACACATGTTACAGACGTGAGCAAGGTGACTTCGGCTCAATGGACAGAACTTAGGTTTCGTGGGGGACAGATGTGGGGTTCGATACCTGGGCGAGGCCAGACGTAACATAACACCCGCTGGTCATGGTCCCCTTATATAGCAAATAAGATTCCTAGCACACTGTTGTATGTCGCATTTTGTGGGAGGGAGGGATAGTCTACCGTAGCTAGGGTCAGGTTTTAAAATAAACCCAGGTAGGGTAACAGCTCTTAGCCTATGATAATGAACTCTGATATATCATGAGGCCGGGTAGGCTAAGACTCACCTTCTGGCCAGATATCGTCAACCACAGGTGCCGCTCCTCAACGAACTGTACCAAGAGGAACACATATATATTAACTTTAATTTCAAAATGTGTAATATATATATATATATATATATATATATATATATATATATATATATATATATATATATATATATATATATATATAAATGCATCTATTTATTTATTATCCAATAATCGCGAACAAGCGATACAAGTTGCAAAACAACCACGGGGGAGCTGAGTGATAGCTCTAGGCCTTTCGTGTTGCAACACATCATCAGGAGCCTGCAACGTTGCAGAAAAGTGGAGAAAGTCCAAGCAAATTTGTTCAGGGGAACGTATTTTGGCTCGAGCAAAATACGTTCCCCTGAACAAATTTGCTTGGACTTTCTCCTCTTTTCTGCAACATTGCAGGCTCCTGGTGATGTGTTGATTGCAACACGAAAGGCCTAGAGCTATCACTCAACTCCCCCCGTGGTTGTTTTGATATATGTATATATATAAATATAATTTAGCAAACGGAATATTTGAGAATAATAGAAAAAATATATAATATACATTAGTAAAACAATACAATTCATTTCTCTATTCTGCACACACACACACACACACACACACACACACACACACACACACACACACACACACACACACACACACAAACTAGGCGGGCCAGGAGCTGAGTCTCGACCCCTGCAACCACAATTAGGTGAGTACACACGCAAATCTTGAGTTAAACATAAAAGCAATACCCTAAGTTTGTATCTTAGAGTAACAATAGCCTGGCTATATGGAAAATTCCCCCAGGTGTGTTTGAGTCTCCCCTGGGGAAACACCTTACTGCGGGATACAATATTCACGACCACACTAATGCTCTACACTCCATTTTTTAGTATACCTTCGTTTTCCACTACGACGCCGTCTCTACCACCTTCACGTAATCTTTTTTTCTATACTCCTCACATGTTTTTCATACAAAAGTTCCCACCCTCACTATCCACAAAACTCAAAAAAAATGATAAATAAACTAGGTATATATTTAACTAAATTACAGACCTTAAGGTAAGAGGTAGGTACGTAGCCCACGGCGGCAGTGCGTAGTGCCATCACGCCCCACCAGATGGCATTGTCCTGCACAACCACCTGTAAAGAAATACGGAAAGATAATAATCATAAAATTTGATCAACGACAGACTAATGACATGTCACAACCGGTAATTCACCATCTTACTGCAGATCAATATCCAATAAAGGTATTTCCGAGCATGTAACTGTGAAACAGACTTAGCAAGAACAACAACAGCCATCACTGGATTTACAGTCAATGGCACATCTAAAATACATGCGTCCATACATACATACATACATACGTACGTTCATACATACAGCAGGTCAAGAAAGTAAAGAACGTGCAAAAGTCTGCAACAATACTAGTCCCGGAGCTAAGGGGTATGTCCTATGAAGAGAGGCTAAGGGAGCTCAATCTGATAACACTGGAGGACAGGAGGGATAGGGAGGAGCCATAATGATGTTAAGAAGCATTTTTTCAGCCTTACAGGTTTAAGGAAGTAGAACAATCTGGAGAGTGAAGTAGTAGAGGAGGGAACCCTACACAGCTTTAAGAAGAGGTGCGATAAGGTTCTTGAAGCCGGGAGAGAGTGGACCTCTTAGCGACCAGCGAAGAGGCGAGGCCAGGAGCTGTGAATCGATCCCTGCAACCACTCGGTGGCCCGAGCGTCACTACAGTGGACCAGGGTTACAGCGACCGCTGGCTTACTCGTGCTGGTGCTGGACTCGGTTACCTAAGGGCGACGCCAGTGTTCAGGTATGAACGACTTAGTTGGGTCGATGTAAGGTGCGTGAGGATCTTGCATCTCGTGTGTGTGTGTGTGTACTCACTTACATGTAGCTGCAGGGGTTAAGTCCTAGCTTCCTGGCCCCGCCTCTCAACTTGCCACTTGACAGATTCACTTCCTCATAGCCTTATGGTTCCTATCTTAACTACTCTTAAAACTACTTATGGAGACTGTCTCTACCACTTCGTCGAGATCATTCCACTTCCCTACCACTGTGAGACTGAAGAAATACATCTTGACATTCCTGTGGCTTATCTGTGTCTTTAACTTACACCTGTGTCCTCGAATACCTGTTTCTCGCCTCTTAAACAAGCCTGTCCTTGGCTACACTATCAATTCCTCCGAGTAGTCTGCGTATTGTTATCACATCTTCCTCTGGTTGTTATAGTCTCCACTGTGGTTAAATTCAACTCCATTAGCCTCTCATCGTAGCCCATACCACTTAGCTCTGGTACAAGCCTATTTGCGTACCTCTTTCTTTCTCCACTTTCTTAACATGTTTTTTTCAGGTGTGAGTTCCATGCCGGTGCAGCATATCCCAATAGGGGTCTGACGTATGTTGTATAAAGGGCCCGGAATAACTATGTTGAGATTCTTGATTCGCTAGACGAGCATGGCTGCAGAACTTACTCAACTGATGCCATCCTCTAGTTCTTCTGAAGGATGTAATATAGCCTTTGTATTCCACGTCTATGTGGGGAAAGGGATGGGTAGATAGACTAATATCTACATAGCATAAGAAAGAGTTGCGATAACACGCAAACGCATCAATAGCTAAATACTTGCATAAATGAGAAATATACACCACAAGCTAAGCTGTTCAGAGCAAGAAGTGGTTGTGGCTCAGTCCTCTGTTCACTGAGCAAGAGACTCGCTACCTAGGTATACCTGACTGCTTGTCCCAACAGGAGTTAGTAATATATGCATACGTTATCCTGTCTTGAACAAGATGGATGGAACCAATATATCCAGGAAAAAAGACACGTTGATAAATAAACTTTCTGGGGGCACAACGCTTTTTCTCCATGCAGAGTTTTACCATGTTATGACTTGATAAAACTACACAGAGCGAAACGCTGCGCCAATGAAAGCTCATTCTGCAACGTGTCTTTTCTTCACAATTGTCGACTATATGCCATTTGAATCCATACACAGCCAGGAGTGCACGCCAGGAGGGGGCAACCAACACGTGATTGCGTGACTGCACATCCCTGGCTCCCACCGTCACCCGAGCTCGTCAATCATACAGCATTATAAATCACGTCTGATGGAAATTCCCACGAATCCATCCCCAGGAACACGAAGTGGTCGGGTCAGCAGGAAGCCATGGAAGTAGGTCATGGGGAGGAATGGAGAGCCCTGAAGCGGAAGTCGGTGGTAAGGGATTGCAAACAGGGGGGGGGGATCTACTAGAAACTAATAAAACTTAAGATTCAGGGCCCCTAATCCCAGAGGGGCCCCAGAAGCGACTTTAGTCCACATTGGATAAAAATTTTGGGCCTACTGTATGAGACGAGTTTTTTTTTTAATAATATAGTTTAATTCAAAATAAAATAATAGTTAAAAATTAAAGGTTTATTAAAACATGTAGGCTAGACGTTGCTTCAGGGCCCCAAAAAATGTAAGTCCGCCACTGATCACGAATATATGGCTAATGTCGAAAGTGATTGGAGATTGCAAGACGGATCCGAAACATCAGTGAACCACCTCGTCAAAACCACTGAGCAAAACAGTGAGGTGTATATGACTGGCTGGACGTTACTCATAAAGTCCATGATTCATAATAATAATAATAATAATGTTAATAATAATAATAATAATAATAATAATAATAATAATAATAATAATAATAATAATAATAATAATAATAATAATAAACTTGCCATCTTGCCCCCACACTCAACTCCAGCAAATATCAGACCACGCTAGGCTTGATCTCACAATTTAATGACCTCTTGTGTGACCTGCTCTCATAATGAGCTCATGTGTGACCTGCTCTCATAATGACCTCATGTGTGACCTGCTCCCATAATGACCTCATGTGTGACCTGCTCTCATGACCTCATGTGTGACCTGCTCTCATAATGACTTCATGTGTGACCTGCTCTCATAATGACCTCATGTGTGACCTGTCTTTCTCCGAGTCTGACCTTATGGTGCTCCTGGGCACACGATGAAGCCCAGCGTTGGGCGAAATGTCGCATTAAAAGGATCCTCTGCTATCAGTGTCTTTATTCTCGAGTTACAGTAGCACTGAAATGTTTACAAGAACTGTATAATTCCTACACTGTTAATAATAATCGTTATAATCAAACTAAGCGCAAAACCCGAAAGGGTCATCCAGCGCTGCCCCCCACACTCTTAAAACAAACTTACCGCGAACATGTCTCCTTTCTTGAACGCCAGGACGAGGGACATGTTAACATTACTCTCCTCGTGGTCAAGGGAATGCGATGCACCGTTGCTACAGCCAGCAACAGCATTGTAACAACTTATAACGTCGTTTTTATGCACTAAATGAACATTATTTCCACTGCCATATTTCTCAGTATCTTGTCCCTCGTTTTCTACGGCTTTCTTACCACATCCGTTTTCTTTCCTCGTTTCAACACAGACTCCGCTATCAATCGACTTTGCGCGATCTTTCACACGAACGCTGAACATTTCGTGTTCATCTTCCTTTAAGGTATATGCTGTGATTACAGTTTGTTCTTGATCATTATCACCAATTCTTTCTGTCTCTTCGTCACTGCTATAGTCGTATCTGCTATCATCTTCACCGTCTCCAGCAGTGTACTCACACGGAATACCTACGGCCTCCGATCTTTGCCTTAAGTATTCTAGCACCAGATCCTCAGAAAAGTCGGCGACAGCCTCATGTATTTCCATACTAGAGTGAAAAAACGGGTTAAAACTCCATGAAAATCTTTTTTATCCAAATTGCTATGATAGTAAAAGCAATTACAATTCTGTGTAACTTTCTGTGAATTTAAGTTTCTCAAGAAAATAGAAAGTTTGGAAGTAATATCGGGATGAGGCAGTAGGAGGACACACCAGGGAGGCTTCACCATGGAGCCACAAGCACAACTAAGCGAATAATACAACTCGCCAACCCACGCCAAAATATCGACCCTGTGGCCGCTCCCTGGACTCTCCCTACAGTCATCACAACCCTGCCGGTGTGGTTGCTACCACCCATCTTACTCAACTTTCATTCCCAACTTTCCAAGAGTTCTCTAAAACCATCATATTATATATTTATACTGACCCAAAAGTTTTGAAAACGAATTACTCTGCGCGATGGAAGACGCAGGGTTAATACTCTTCCACTCACTACAATGAGGGAGGTGATTCATTCAGTTTCTGACGCCCACTTTCACTCCCTCATAATCCCCCCTTACTATAACAAACCCCCAATACTAGGACAGTCCCCACTACGACTAGAACTGAGTAACCTATCATTATCGCATGTCTGATTTATCCTGTGATTCTACAGAGGTAATTTCATTTTATTGTTATCGTTTTCGTTTCCTCACTTTCCCTGCGGTAGATACTGTAGAATAAATGTGCTAAAACAGTATTGGTCATTCTGTGCTAGAGGCTCGATCCTCCGTTTGGTAATTTCGAGGCAGAAACTGTTCTGGCACCCAGGCTTCTACCTCTTGGGGTGCAATAGTTTACTAAAAGCTCACTTAATTTGGTTTATGAATAAGTAAGAATAAAAAGCACCACCTGGTCGTATCGTTGGTGCACCTTTGTACCATTTATGTACGGCTGCACTATAAGTGCATCGCACTACCATGGGTGTATCGCTCTGCCAATAGTGTATCGCTCTATCATTTCTATTTCTACAAGTATATGTACAAAGTATACAGACCATAGCTGATATCAGTGATATACTATATAGAAAGACCCTTGTTATGCAGAGCATTTTGGGCAACTTAGGTTAATTTTGTCTTCAAGCAGGCACTGGGCAAGCACCTAAAGTCGGTACCTGACCAGCCGGGCTGTGGCTCGTACGTTGGATTGCGTGCAGCCAGCAGTAACAGCCTGGTTGATCAGGCTCTGATCCACCATGAGGCCTGGTCACAGACCCGACCGCGGGGGCGTTGACCCCCGGAACTCTCTCCAGGTAAACTCCAGGTAACTCCAAATGTGACCCACACCAGTCGGCTAACACCTAGGTACCTACTTACTGCTAGGTGAACAGGGTCAGCAGGTGTTTTAAGGAAACACGTCCTAATGTTTCCACCCGTACCAGGGCTCGAAACACGGACATCAGTGTGTGAGTTTGAGTCCGCTACCAGTCAAGGAATCGCTCTAACATTGGTGTACCACTGCAGGACAAGCCGTTGTCGGGACTTTCGATGTTTAATTCTTTATTAAGTCATATGTCATAAAATATGATTTAATAAATATTTAAACATCGAAATATTGTCCTGGTAAAAGTTTATTCTTTAAGGTGTCTTCCCCTAGGTATATAATACAAGCATGGTACATTATGTGTACACCTGTGACAGTCGCACCACAGCGTTCTGAACACACGCTCTGTATTAACGACAGCTTAGTTAAAACACATTTAAGCACAGGAGCCTTAGGTCTAAAATATCTGAAGGCCGCAACTCCACATCTTCCTCACCTGTCATCAAGACAGGTGTGCATAAGTGTTTCAAACAGTCCCTCGTTCTCTACGATAAAGGAGAGAGAGACTTAGGTGGGAATCCATTTTCCGTCTTCTCTCAAATAATCGAGCAGAGACCCATGGTGTATAGACAAACCCGCACGCAGGAGGATGATGAACTTACGACGACGTTCTGGTCTACGGTGTGGCTGGAATCAGCGGACTGCGCAGCCCTGTCGCAGACACCACACCTATTTATTCTCTTCCATTATGAATTTGTACAGTAGTTCAGAAAGCACAAGAATTTTGTAGTCATCCTGGTATATCACGTAGCTTTAACCTATAACAACCCAATTAAGTCAATGTGACCTATTTCAACTTAGGTCCTTTCCAAATTACACTGTACATCAATGCATTAGAAGACATACAGAGAAGGCTGGCTAATCAACATCCCTGTCACAGGAATCTTTCCCATGAAGATAGTTTGAGAGCTTTGAGCCTACACTCTCTTGAAGAACGTAGAATAGCGGGTTATATATGACTGCTGTGGGTAAATAAAAGACAGGTATAAACAAAATGGATATCAATAAAGTGTAGAAAATACCTAATCAAGACAGAACTTATAAAAATTGATTCATGTTGGATAAATTCAGATTTGGAAAGGATATAGGAAAACACTATTTTGACACTACTAGATCTATAAACGAGAGGAAAATACTGCTAAGAAATTTATTTGAAATAAATACATTGAGAAGAGAGATCACAAGGCGAGACTAGGTTCTTAGGAATATGAATTTCATTCACTTGAAGGTTGTCATATAAATCAGGGTAGCTGTACAATGTTATATAAATCAAGGTACCCACACAAAATAACATTCTTAATTATAGGTTGGGATCTTTTTTATGCCTCCTATACCCGTCCAGTAGGCCGTAGTCAAAAGATCACAGTGGCACACAATGGGTCCAGGAATCAATATTTATCTAATAAGCAAGTTACAGTGTCAATAAACTGTTTACAAAATTTATTGAATTCGAAACAATAGTATTGAGTTTACAATCATGAATTCAGTCGCAAAACATTACATTTGTTATAAATTATTTACAATACAGATTTTTCCAGATTTATTTATATTTTATTATAATCAGTGGGAAGCATTAAATCCGTACGAGTTATATAACACCTGGGGATTTGGAGACATTCAGATTAACACAAAAAAGGAAGAATAAATCCAGTTTTTTGGATCAAGAGCCATTAACCAGCATCTAAGCACCTACATTAAGGGAGACATTTTTCCAGAATGGCTGACGATTTGTTACTGTGGATAAAACATTTCTTTAACATTTGCGAGTTGTCTCAGAATTCAAGCTTTTTTTTCGCATTCATTTCGACTGTCGACCTGTAGTCTGGTTAACATTTCACTAAACGAACCCGTATTGAGACTTCAATTATTTCACTAATTTTAATGTTGCCATCAGTGTAAGATGCATCTTGTTTAAGCAAGAGCCAAGTAAAGTAAAGCAAAATACTAAAAACAAAGTAACCCGACACAGTTTTGACATTACCATCGTTCAGGTCATTATTGATTGGCTCTTCTAATAATTTTTATTTCTACAAGTACACGATACAACAGGGATGTTAGGAAGTATTTCTTCAGTCATAGAGTCGTCAGGAAGTGGGATAGCCTAACAAGTGATGTAGTGGAGGCAGGAACCATACATAGCTTTAAGACGAGGTATGACAATGCTCAGGAAGCAGAGAGAGAGGACCTGGAGTTTACCTGGAGAGAGTTCCGGAGGTCAACGCCCCCGCGGCCCGGTCTGTGACCAGGCCTCCTGGTGGATCAGCGCCTGATCAACCAGGCTGTTACTGTTGGTTGCACGCAAACCAACGTACGAGCCACAGCCCGGCTGGTCAGGAACCGACTTTAGGTGCTTGTCCAGTGCCAGCTTGAAGACTGCCAGGGGTCTGTTGGTAATCCCCCTTATGTATGCTGGGAGGCAGTTGAACAGTCTCGGGCCCCTGACACTTATTGTATGGTCTCTTAACGTGCTAGTGACACCCCTGCTTTTCATTGGGGGGATGTTGCATCGTCTGCCAAGTCTTTTGCTTTCGTAGTGAGTGATTTTCGTGTGCAAGTTCGGTACTAGTCCCTCTAGGATTTTCCAGGTGTATATAATCATGTATCTCTCCCGCCTGCGTTCCAGGGAATACAGGTTCAGGAACCTCAAGTGCTCCCAGTAATTGAGGTGTTTTATCTCCGTTATGCGCGCCGTGAAGGTTCTCTGTACATTTTCTAGGTCAGCAATTTCACCTGCCTTGAAAGGTGCTGTTAGTGTGCAGCAATATTCCAGCCTAGTAGAACAAGTGACCTGAAGAGTGTCATCATGGGCTTGGCCTCCCTAGTTTTGAAGGTTCGCATTATCCATCCTGTCATTTTTCTAGCAGATGCGATTGATACAATGTTATGGTCCTTGAAGGTGAGATCCTCCGACATGATCACTCCCAGGTCTTTGACGTTGGTGTTTCGCTTTATTTTGTGGCCAGAATTTGTTTTGTACTCTGATGAAAATTTAATTTCCTCGTGTTTACCATATCTGAGTAATTGAAATTTCTCATCGTTGAACTTCATATTGTTTTCTGCAGCCCACTGAAAGATTTGGTTGATGTCTGCCTGGAGCTTTGCAGTGTCTGCAATGGAAGACACTGTCATGCAGATTCGGGTGTCATCTGCAAAGGAAGACACGGTGCTGTGGCTGACATCCTTGTCTATGTCGGATATGAGGATGAGGAACAAGATGGGAGCGAGTACTGTGCCTTGTGGAACAGAGCTTTTCACCGTAGCTGCCTCGGACTTTACTCTGTTGACGACTACTCTCTGTGTTCTGTTAGTGAGGAAATTATAGATCCATCGACCGACTTTTCCCGTTATTCCTTTAGCGATCAGTGAAGAGGCGGGGCCAGGAGCTGAGTCTCGACCCCTGCAACCACAATTAGATGAGTACATATCATAGCTGACATCAGTGACTTACTATAGAAAGCCCCTTGTTATGTAGAGCATTTCGGGCATATTATGTTAATTTTGTCCCCAGGATGCGACCCACACCAGTCGGCTAGCACCCAGGTACCTATTTACTGCTAGGTGAACAGTGACAGCAGGTGTCTTAATTAAGGAACTTTCCACCCGTACCGGAGATTGAACCACGGAGCTCAGTGTGTGAGCTGAGTGCTCTACCAACCAAGAACTGCTCTATCACACATTTAATAAGTTTATTTAAGTATACAGGTACACAGAAGTATAATTGTCATAATAAACAGTTATGTTTGTCATTACTATGGCTCGTCCAGGTATTTTACAACATATCAAGACACCCAAAAGTATTAAAAAAAATAAAAAATTTTACATGAAATATACAATTTACCCAGAAAACAATGAGACATGAAGAATAAAACAAAAATAACGTGACACTTGGTAACATATCTTGTCCCATTTTACAATATGAATAAAATGGGACGAGATATGTTACCTATTATGCATTAAAATTGAAGGAAAGTTGGAAGAACAACATAGAAGTGGATGAAAGCTGTGGCTGGAGGAACAGAATTGGATAAAAGAGCCTGCGGAATATCAGGTATTGAAATATATTCATAATTAAAATAAAAACGAAAGTCTTTAATTATTAGTTTTCTTCTTCGATAATAATAATAATAATGATAATAATAATGTAGCAACAAAGTGTGTTAACTGTGCTGGTCAATGTTATGGTGTGGGAGGAGACGGTACAGTTGGCAGCCATGACGTCCGTCACACGGGTGAGGCTCTCCTAGCTCTTCCTTTATTTCAACTCCTAGAATTGGTTTTTGGAAAGTTAGCTCTGAAGTGTGATTTTTGTAGTTCATTCATTAAGCCTGGGTCATTTCTGAGGTGGTGTATGGAGGCGTTATTAGCTAATATTCACCGGGGAAATCCACGTGAGAATGGGAGCCACTGCAGACCAGGTTCCTTGGTGCTGGAGGGGGCTCTTGATGCGAGGAATTGGATGTCCTTCCCTGCCTTGGATCTAATTTGAGTGCCACCCATTCCTTTAGGCGCTGTTTGAATCCCACATGTGCGTTTAGAGCTTCCTAAATATATTTTGACATGTCCTCCGTTTGGATCGAACTTCATTGTCCTATTCTCCCCGGGTGCTTTATGACCCTTACGAATTTAGCGCTTCTAACTATAATAATACAAAAATAAGTTCATAGACAATTTGTACTGGTATATAATTATCATTGATACAAAATGATTTTATTCAGAATATTATACCAGAAAAATTAGTAACCCAGAATAACATCAGTGCAAATAAATCACTGAGTTTTTTTGGGTTATTCTCGGGTAATTTACACTGTGACAATTGTATGTGTGCCTGTAACTAAATAAACTTACTAACTCCAAAAATCCAGTCATTGTGTCATGTCCATTGTGTCTGGTGACAAAGCTTTCGCTTCACATGCTGAGGTTCCGGGTTCAGTTCCTGGTGAAGGTGGAAACATTGGGTGTGTTTCCTTACTCCAGTTGTCCATGTTCACCCATCAGTAAAAATGAGTACCTGGGTGTTAGTCGACTGGTGCGGGCCGCATCCTGGGACAAAATTGACCTAATTTGTCCAAAATACTCTGCATAACAAGAGGCTTTCTATATAATAGTCTGTCATTGATGTCAGATAGACCTGTATACCTTGTACATGTAGAAATAAAGATGATATTATTATTAGAGGGTGCTAAGGTTCTCTTCTTCAGGATGCCATCCACAATATAAATATTCAAGTTCATTATACAAGTTTATATTTTTTTACAATGCTAGTTGAGCAGGGATATTAAGTGCAAGGACACTTTCCAAAATTTAAACTGTTAGCTCAAACTTTGGAACTTCAGTTGTTATCCAAATGTGCTATCATTGAGCCATGAGCCATGAGAGTAAATTAGTAAATTCAAAGACTTAATATTTCCATTCGTGCCAATGAAGAAGCTATATCAACACAGTCACAAATGTCATTTTGACATTGCACAATGCATAGTTAACAATAAGGTCATTATGTACTTTTTTTCCCCAGGACATCACTCCATTAATATTTTGTATTGTAAGTATCAACCGTGTTATCTATTACGAAGGAAAAAATGTATATTTATTTTGGAAATTGCTTATTCAGGTGTTAATAGGCAAAATAAGAATATCGTATATGTAAACTCTCTTTTATTAAGTGGGTTATGCAGTGGCTAAAAGCTGAGTTAGTGAATGATTAAATCCCTTAATGTTTTCTTTGTTTGTGGGAATTTTTAGTTACTAAAGTAAAACCCTCGATATAATGGACTAATAGTGGAGGATTGTCTGAGCCAGTTAAATTTGAATAATGCTAAAAAATGGGGAAAAAAGCACTTAAATACTCTATTGTATACTGTATATAGTACTGCACCCTCAATTTATGGCAATTATGGAAATTTATGGGAATTAGGAGGTGTGGAGTTAATAAAAGTATAAATCAGAGGGCTGAAGAGGGGTTGTTGAGGTGGTTTGGTCATTTAGAGAGAATGGATTAAAGTAGAATGACATGGAGAGCATGTAAATCTGTAGGGGAAAGAAGGCTGGATAGGAGTATCTTCGAAAAGGTTGGAGGGAGGAGGTAAAAGAGGTTTTGTGGACTTCCAGCAGCCGTGCGTGAGCGTGTTAAATAGGAGTGAATGGAGACGAATGGTTTTTGGGACCTGACGAACTGTTGGAGTGTGAGCAGGGTAATATTTAGTGAAGGGATTCAGGGAAACTAGTTATTTTTATATAGCCAGACTTGAGTCCTGGAAATGGGAAGTACAATGCATGCACTTTAAAGGAGGGGTTTGGGATATTGGCTGTTTGGAGGGATATGTTATATATCTTTATATTTGCTTCTAAACTGTTGTATCTGGGCACCTCTGCAAAAAACAGTGATTATGTATGAGTGAGGTGAAAGTGTTGAATGATGAAAGTATTTTCATTTCTGGGATTTTCTTTCTTTTTGGGTCACCCTGCCCTGGTGGGAGACAGCCAACTTGTTATATTGAGGGTTTACTTGCATTAACTTCTGTATGGTAATGTGGGTTTCATAGCTCCTATCTCCTCCACACCTGTTTTTCCTTATTGTTTAAATTTGGTGATTATTATTTTCTGCTGCTCAGTACCTCGGATATATCTCAGTGCAAGAGGAAAATACTGTATACTACTGTGTATCATGCATTACCAGAATTACATAACTGGCATATAATGTTAATGCATTACCATGTTTGCCTTTTTTATATGGTCTAGTATTTAATTTCAATGACATGAAGATGATGTTAGGGTAATTTAATAATTAAGTGATTGAAATCATGTACTCTATTTAAATTTGCTATCCAGTGATCCTTGAAAACATTTTACTCCCATGCTGACCTTAGTGCCCATCAGGAGTGTAGATTTTATGAATAATGTTGAAACACATGAATTGTATGTATTTTCAAAGTGACCTCAAAAATTCTTCTGAAAATAAAATGTTTGCAGACATTTTAGATTTTCTTGAGTATAATAATTTTTTGTATTTAGGACTCAGATGTGCACATTACCTATGAAGATCAACAGAAGATAAACAGGTTTGCCCGCTGCAATGCACGTCATGGAGACATTAAGGAGGAACTTAAAATTAAGGAGGTAAATAGAAATTAGTTATATCCTACAGAACTGAGCATAAGTTTTAAATATCAATGAAATATCTTTAAAAAAATTGAGATATATATTAAATAATGCTATGTGGTACTAGTATTGGTGTTGGTGGGTATTGCCTAGTTATGATGGTATTGGAATCTGCCTAAATTTCAGTATTGAGATGAAAGGTATTTAATGCCGACAAGCTGACGAATAAGATCATTGTAGATACAGAGGTGTTTTTATCACTATGTAGTATCTCTTGAAAATATGCACTGTGCTATAATTTTAATTTTCCTTTGTAAATGAAGTTATGAAGGTTACACACTGATAGATACAACAGTGATTTGGTAATATTTTTAGAATATATACTACTACAATTATACGGCACACATAAGTATGATAAGGCACCTAAACTACTGGGAACGGTTGAAGGTCCTTAATCTGTATTCCCTCGAATGCAGGCGAGAGAGATACATGATAATACAGTGGACCCTCGGCTAACGATATTAATCCGTTCCTGACAGCTCATCGTTAGATGAAATTATCGTTAGCCGAATTAATTTTCCCCATAAGAAGTAATGGAAATCCAATTCATCCGTTTCAGACAACCAAAAGTATTAAAAAAATAATTTTTTTTCATGAAATATACATTTCCCTACAAAGAAAACAATGAGACATGCACAATAACTATATAAATAAATGTTAAAATGACACTTACCTTTATTGAAGAGTATTGATGAGTGATGAGACACTGTTTTTCTTGAACACACTGGGATTTTCAGTGATACATGAGTAAAGGCTTCACTTTGCAGTCCCCCCTAGCATTACAACAAAACATGAGAGTTAGCCTGTCTTTCATTGGCTTGTGTCCTGGGAGTGCCTTTTCCTCCTGAGTAATGTAGGTCCTGTTTGGCATTTTCTTCCAGAACAGGCCTGTTTCCTCACAATTGAACACTTGTTGGTGTTGGAATTTTTCAGCTTCTTCATGCCTTATCAGACTGTGTATGCCACTATGATTCTTAAATTTCTCAAACCAACCTTTGCTGGCCTTAAATTCACCAATATGAGCACTAGTTCCAGGCATTTTTTCCTGTTCACCTGGGTGTTAGTTGACTGGTGTGGGTCGCATCCTGGGGGACAAGATTAAGGACCCCAATGGAAATAAGTTAGACAGTCCTTGATGACTCACTGACTTTCTTGGGTTATCCTGGGTGGGTAACCCCTTGGGGTTAATTGTTTCTCGTTAAGCCACACCAACAACAGTCTCTCCACATCTTTGAGTATTACAGCTGACTGTGGTGCAGCAACAGCTGACATTGAACATTGACTAATGAACAGAGGATATGTTATTTTAGTGCCAAGAATGTCTACATTGTTTATTAGGAACCCTATTTTGAAATTGGCATCTTTTTTAATTTGCATGAAATTGGCCAAATTGCCAATTTCTGACTACTTTATTGGGTAGTTCAAATCAGTAAATGGGCAGTTTCTTGTACTCAGTTGATAGAAAAAATGGAGTTGTAAATAAATAGCTATGAGTTTGGTCAACTGGAACAACGGAATTGGCCAAAAACAGGGCTCAAAGTCGGCGAAATCACCGATGCGTATATGTCGCCGAGACCGCTAACTTCGCTGGAGCGTAATTCTATGAGTCTTCAACCAGATTTCATACTTTTGGTGTCATTACCATTGGGAAAAGATTCTCTATCATTTCATAAGAAAAATAATTTTTTTTTTTTTTCCAAAAATTTTGCAACATAGAATGACAGTTTCAGAAAGGGGCTTGCACCAGTCAAAGGGTTAAGGGCTCTCTCTTCCAAGGACTGTAGGGCACCCTCCTGTCCTTGCATCAAGTTTACTTACTGTGCCTCCTATTTTCCCAGGTACTGTATGGTGTGGATTTGATGCTTTCCCTTGACTATAATAATGCTGCATATTGGTCAGACCAAACTCCTGCTGTCATCTCATGGAGAGATGCCAAGATTCACTGTAAAAATTGTCAGTTCAGGCAGTCCATCTTTTTTAAAAGTTGTCCCATTCATTATAAAGCATGTCAACTTAATTTTTTTAGCTTCCATTCTTCATTCTGACATGCTTGTTCTGTCTTCTCAGAAGATCCCACTTTTTAATACTTTTTTTTTTTTTTGTTACTGAATATCCTCAGAGGTTTCACACTGAATTTAATAGTTAAACTACTGTTAACAAGAACATTATTACCTGGAGTTTACCTGGAGAGAGTTTCGGGGGTCAACGCCCCCGCGGCCCGGTCTGTGACCAGGCCTCCTGGTGGATCAGCGCCTGATCAACCAGGCTGTTGCTGCTGGCTGCACGCAAACCAACGTACGAGCCACATAATACAGCAGTCATGTGATTTCATTACCAACTTATGCTATGAGCAGTCGCACTTTTTATGTGGTATGGATATGTAAGCTATGATGATGCCACGGATCATGCTAGTTAGGTAGTATTTTTAATACAGTAGGGCCCCACTTATATAAGAGGTTAGATTCCAAGCTACTGCTGGAAAGTGGACATCACTGGAAAGGAGAATGCCATTTGTTTCCACTTATAAATGTCAGATAATAAGTTTACACTGACATATATTAAGTTAGCAATAGAACAAGGCATTAAAAACAATAAAAAGTAAAATACACACACAGTACACTCATTACTTACCTCAAAATATTTGTAGTCTTAATGTAGGGTGAGAAGTGAGGAGTGTTTATTGTAAGAAGTTAGGTGTGGTAGGTATGGCAGCCAGCCAGGCAACTCCCCACCCCACCCACATGTAATATACTTTGACATTTAAAGAGCACTAGAGTGATAAAATGCATATAGTGTACACTCATTACTTACCTTAAAATATTTGTAGTCTTAACGGTCCTAACCCTTTGACTGTTTTGGTCATATATATATACATCTTGCAAGCCACTGTGTTTGACATATATGTACAGTGGAACCTCTACTTACGAGTTTAATCCATTTCATGACCTTTCTCGCAACTGGATTTGCTCGTTTGCAGAATCAATTTTCCTCATTTGAATTAATTGAAATGGAATTAATTCATTCCAGTGGAATTCCAGGCACGATAAAATACTTTAATAATTTCCCTAATAACTCTACAGCTTATTTATCTATCACAATTCATGTAATATGACATAATAAACAATATTAATAACATTGAAACATGATATATACACTAGAATGAATAAAATACATGTCATTAGGTATGTGGCTAGTGGTGGTGACAGCAGCCATTGTTGTTGAGGCTTATAGGGCCACCACAGAGGCCATTCCTGCTCTGACTACATGTGTAGAGAACCTAGGATAACCCAAAAAAGTCAGAGTGACTTATAAGTGCTACACTCTTAATGCTTCACTTAATTGCTACACTCTTACTGCTATACTTAATTGCTACTCTCTTAATTCTACACTTTGCCACTGCTGCTTCATGTTGTCTTCACTGCTGCTTCATGTTGTCTGTCACTGCTGCTTCATGTTGTCTGTCACTGCTGCTTCATGTTGTCTGTCACTACTGCTTCATGTTGTCTGCCACTGCTACCTCATGTTGTCTGCCACTGCTACCTCATGTTGTCTGTCACTGCTGCTTAATGTTGTCTGCCACTGCTGCTTCATGTTGTCTGTCACTGCTGCTTCATGTTGTCTGTCACTGCTGCTTCATGTTGTCTGTCACTACTGCTTCATGTTGTCTCCCACTGCTACCTCATGTTGTCTGTCACTGCTGCTTCATGTTATCTGCCACTGCTACCTCATGATGTCTGCCACTGCTGCTTCATGTTGTCTGCCACTGCTACCTCATGATGTCTGCCACTGCTACCTCATGATGTCTGCCACTGCTACCTCATGATGTCTGCCACTGCTACCTCATGATGTCTGCCACTGCTACCTCATGATGTCTACCACTGATGTCGCCAAAGTATCGAACATTTCTGCTATTTTGAGCTCGATTTCAAGGTACTTTTCATAGTGAAACCAATTAAAATCATAATTATTTTTGTAGTATATCTTCCATTCTATCACACGAGACCAAATAAAACGAGAATACAACCATAAAAACCATACGAAAATATACCGCTAACAGGAGGCTAATGGCTGAGAAGTGAACTCCGTTATTTATGGTCCGCTTTTTTTCATTTTTGGTGTACGTTAAGAAGCATCTTTTCATCACACATTGCCCAAGTTTCAATAAGATAGTCCAACAAACAACTGATATCCAGTTCCCTAGATCAAGACCAAGAGCCCCATCACTAGTGTCAATTAACCTTCTTTGAGGCCTGCTCGCATCTGGAAATTTTGCTCGCGTCTGGGAGCAAAAAATCGACTGAGCAGCTGTTCGTGTCTGGAAAAACTCGCATGCGGATGCACTCGTAAGTAGAGGTTCCACTGTACTCATAAATACTAGTGGCTTCAAATCATGCAGGAGAAAGCTAGTAGGCCCACATGTGAGAGAATGGGTCTGTGTGGTCAGTGTGCACCATATAAAAAAAATCCTGGAGCACGCAGTGCATAATGAGAAAAAAAAAACTGACCGTTTTTTTTTTTAGTTAAAATGCTGACTTTGTGGTCTATTTTCGTATAGTATTTATGGCTGTATTCTCGTTTTCTTGGTCTCATTTGATAGAATGGAAAACATATTATAGAAATAGATGTGATTTTGATTGGTTTTATTATAAAAAGAACCTGGAAATGGAGCTCAAAGTATGGGAAATGTTTGATTTTTGCCGATGTTCAAAAGTAAACAAATCATGTCATTGTCCAATAAATGTCCAACTAGCCATTCTAATATGCAGTCATGAATGGGTTTATGTTATTTATACAATTATTACAGTATTGCAGTAGTCTGCATAACAGTAAATCTTCTATTTTTTGTGTGAATAAAAATTCAAAATACTAGAAAGCAAGAGTAATATCAGAGAGGCCTGGAGACGTGACTGATAAACAAAGAAAATGTTATTTTAGAGCCAGGAATGTCTGCATTGTTCATTCTGGACCTTATTTTGAAATTGTCATATTTTTTAATTTTCGTGAAATTGGCCAAATTGCAAATTTCTGTCCACGTTATTGGGTTGAAATCGGTAAGTGGGCAGTTTCTTGTACTCAATCGATAGAAAAAATGGAGTTCTAAAGAAATACCTATGAGTTCGGTCGACTGGAACAATGGAATTAGCCAAAAATAGGGCTCAAAGTGGGCAAAATAGCCGATTTGTAAATATTGCCGAGGTCGCTGACTTCACAAGAGCGTAATTCCATCAGTTTTCCATCAAATTTCGTTCTTTTGGTGTCATTACAATCGGGAAAAGATTCTCTTTCATTTCATAAGTTTTTTTTTTTTTTTTTTTTTTTTTTTTTTTTTTTTTAAATTTTGTGACACCAGGAGACACCGCAGGATTCGGGGTTGCGACAGTCAAGGGGTTAATATAGTGTGCAAGGTAAATAGTAGGGTAGGTAGGTATTGAATAGTGTGGTAGGTATTGTAACTCCATCTGGCCACCCCATCCGCACATTATATACTAGGCATTTAACCCTTTCAGGGTTTCGGCCGTACTAGTACGGCTTATGCACCAGGGTTTTTGACGTACTAGTACACCTAAATTCTAGTGCCCTCAAATCTAGTGAGAGAAAGCTAGTAGGCCTACATATGAAAGAATGGGTCTATGTGGTCAGTGTGCGCAGTATAAAAAAAATCCTGCAGCACACTGCGTAATGAGAAAAAAACTTTGACCGTGTTTTGGGATTAAAACAGTGACTTTGCACTGTATTTTCGTATGGTATTTATTGTTGTATTCTAGTTTTCGTGGTCTCATTTTATAGAATGGAAGACATATTACAGAAATTGAGATGATTTTGACTGGTTTTACAATGAAAAGTACCTTGAAATTGAGCTCAAAGTAGCAGAAATGTTCGATTTTTACCAAAGTTCAAAAGTAAACAAATCATGCTATGCGTCCAATACACGTCAACTGGTGAGTCTAATATTCTTTCACAAGTGCACTGATAATATTTATACCATTTCTACACTAATGCAGTAGTCTGCATAACAGTAAATCTTCTATTTTATTGTGAGAATAAAAATTCAAAGTGGAAAGCAAAAGAATGTAAGAGGGGCGTGAGGACGTGACTAGTGAACAGAGGAAATGTTATTTTAGTGCCAGGAATGTCTTTCTTGTTTATTCTGGACCCTATTCAGAAATTGGCATCTTTTGAAATTTGTGTGAAATTGGCAAAATTGCTAAATTCTGACCACTGTATTGGATAGCTGAAATCGGTAAATGGGTGGTTTCTTGTACTCATTCGATAGAAAAAATGGAGTTCTAACGAAATAGTTATGATTTTTGTCGACTAGTACACTGGAATTGGCTGAAAATAGGGCTCAAAGTGGGCAAAATCACCAGTGTGTAAACATCGTCGAGACCGCTAACTTCACGAGAGCATAATTCTGTAAGTTTTCATCAAATTTCATACTTTTGGTGTCATTATGATCGGAAAAAGATTCTCTATCTTTTCATACAAAAAATAATTTTTTTTTTTTTTTGAAATTTGGCCAACCCTGAGAACAAGTCTCTGAGAGGGCCTGTCGACCCTGAAAGGGTTAACGCACCCTAGAGCGATAAAATGCACATACAGTACACTCCTTACTTACCTTAAAATATGGCGCATGGAGATCGTATTAGCGAGTCAGGTGGTGGGGGAGTCGTTTAACGAGTTTTGGTCCTAATTTGAAATGTCCGTGTTAGCGAAACACCGTAAAGCAAAGTGCTCTAAAGCAGGGCCCTACTGTATAGTATTTAGGTATGTAAATTTTCCAGGCAATAAATATGGGCTGTATATAATGACACTGTATTTTTCCCATTCAGAATGATCTACAAAACTTGCAGGATGCAGAAGATGAGATGTTAATTGCTCTGGACAGTGATGAAAAAGTTCCATTCATGGTTGGTGAGGTCTTCATCATGAAAACACAGGTTAGTTAAATTGTTGCTTTTATGAAGGATTTATTTTGGCAGCCAGAAAATAAAGGTTTGAGTAATATTAATTATTTATATTTTGATGTGACAAAAGCTACACTCTAGCCTAGATGCTCAAAAATTCACAGAACATATGATTTGCAACAGTTGTAATACTGCAACTAATGTGACATTTTATTGTGGCAATGTTTCACTCTCCAGGAGCTTTATCAAGCCAGCTTGATAAAGCTCCTGGTGAGTGAAATGTTGCCACAATAAAATGTCACATTAGTTGCACTTGTGTCCTTTTACCTAACATATTGTCAGTAATTCTACCAACATTAATACAGTTGTAATAATAATGATCTATAGGGTGATCGAGGAAATTATAGATTGAACATAGAGAAAGTGAGATACTGTTTGAGGGACTTAAGGATTATCTGCATCCTTTACTTTTCTTTGAATTATTACTAGTCCAACAGTCTCTTAAATAGGCCACATTACTGTTGCATTCCTCTCCCCCTAAAATGTCTGCTTTGTAGAGATATCTAAAGACACTTATTGATTGGAATTGGTCAGACAGTAGGTCCCTGATGTGTGATGTTCTACCACTTTTTAGCTAATTAATTACTTAACAATGCTGAATTTTGTGATTACGATCATTGCAGATATTCTGTCAAATGTTATTTTAAATAAATATTTTTTCTTTTTTCATACTTTGTGTATGTTCAATTATGCATATACAAAATGCTTACATTTGTTTGGCAAAGATTGGTGAAGTACTATAGATTTAATGTTTACAGTTATCTGGAGACTGAATTATAATACAGTGGACCCCTGGTTATCGACCGATTTGGTTATTGGCCAACTTGGTTATTGGCTGTTTTTTTGGCGCCCAGTTATCGGCTGTTTGCTCGGTTATCAGCCATTTGGGACACGTCCATCCGCCGGCTGGGGCTGCTTGTGCGTCAGTTTGGTTTTGTCTCTCGGTGGCTGAGGAAGCTTCTGCTTGTACATCCAAACATTTTGCTTATTTCCCCTTGTAGTATGTGTTATATTTGCAGTGCAACTGTGAAATAAGGAACCATGGCTCCAAAGAAAGTTCCTGTGGTAAAGAAAGTGAGAAACACCATGGAATTTAAGTGTGAAGTGATACAAAAGTTTGAAAGTGGTATGAAGGTGGTGGAACTTGCCAGGATGTACAGCAAGAATAAATCAACAATTACATCCATCCTGGCAAAGAAAGAACAAATCAGAGAGGCTAATGTTGCAAAAGGAGTAATTTGTCTAAACAAAGGCCACCAATAATGGAAGAGATGGAAAAGTTATTATTAGTGTGGATTAAGGAAAAGGAATTAGTGGGAGACAGTGTTGTGGAGTCTATTGTTTGTGAGAAGGCAAGGCAGCTGCATGAGGATCTTGCAAAGAAAATGCCTGGAAAAAGTGCTGCAGTTTGTGAATTTAGGGTCAGCAAAGGATGGTTTGATAGATTTAAGAAGCATATTGGCATACACAGTGTTGTAAGGCGTTGTGAGGCTGCAAGTTCTGACAAATGTGCAGCTGAAAAGTATGTTCATGAATTCCAGGACTGTGAAAAGGCTGAAGGATTTGAACCCCAGCAAGTGTTTAGTTGTGATGAAACAGGCCTGTTTTGGAAGAAAATGGCAAACAGGACCTACTACATTAACCAGGAGGAAAAGGCACTGCCAGGACACAAGATTATAAATGACAGGCTTACTCTTTTGTTGTGTGGTAATGCTAGTGGGGATTTCATAGTGAAGCATTTACTCGTGTATCACTCAGAAAATCCAAGAGTGTTCAAGAAAAACAATGTAATGAAGAATTGATTGTGTGTGATGTGGAAAGTTAATCATAAGGCATGGGTCACAAGGCAAATTTTTAAAGAGTGGGTTAATGATGTGTTTGGCCCAAGTGTGAAAAAATACCTCCTGAAAAAGAAATTGCCACTCATGTACCTCCTGTTACTGGACAGTGTTCCTGCACATCCTCCAGACTTGCAAGACCAAGTGTTTAGGGACTTCAGTTTCATCACAGTGAAGTTCTTGCCTCCTAACACCACTCCTCTCCTCCAGCCCTTAGACCAGCAGGTCATTTCTAACTTCAAAAAACTCTACACAGAATCTGTGTTTCAAAAGTGCTTTGAAGTGACATTGGACATTCACTTGACCCTAAGACAGTTCCAGAGGAATCACTTCACTATCCTCCATTGCATAAGCCTTATAGGTAAGGCTTGGGAGGGAGTGACTTCCAGGACTTTGAACTCTGCTTGGAGAAAATTGTGGCCAGATTGTTTCCAAGAGAGAGATTTTGAAGGGTTTGAGGCTGACCCTGACCCTGCCAACCTTGTGGACTCTATTGTGGCACTGGGGAAGTCCCTGGGGTTGGAGGCGAATGGCAAGGATGCGGGAGAGTTGGTGGAGGACCATAGGGAAGAGCTAACCACTGAAGAGCTGCAAGAGCTTCATCTCGAACAGCAACAGACTGCAGCTGAGGAACTTGCTTCAGAGGGGGAGGAAGAGGGAGTGAAGGAGGTGCCTTCTTCAGAGATTAAAGAGGTGTGTGCAGTGTGGACTAGGGTACAAACACCACCTTGACAAAGCTGAGACAAGCCATATCTGTAACATGTTTAGTGACAAAACCCTGTCCCACTTCAGGGAAATCTTAGAGATGCCAGAAACAGAGCGCTCTGGACAGTTATTTTGCGAGACAGGGGTCCAGTGACTCTCAAGCTGGTCCTAGTGGCATTAAAAGACAGAAGGGAAGTAACCCCAGAGAAGGCTTTGCTACCTAAAATCTTTATGGAGGGGGATTCCCCTTCCAAACACTAACTCCTCCCTCTTTCTTCCTCCCTATCTTCCAGAAGCCAGCATTAACCTTCAATAAACGTATGTAATACTTACATAATTGTTAAAAAAATTATTTTTTTGTGAATATTTTTGTTTGGACCGGATTAATTGTATTTCCATTAATTCTTATGGGAAATATTAGTTCGGTTTTCGGCCATTTCGGTTATTGGCCGACCTTCTGGAACGGATTACGGCCGATAACTGGGGGGTCCACTGTAATGCTGTGTGCTTTCTGGTAGTTTTTATCATGTACATTCGTACTTTGTGTATGATTACGGTGGTACCCCGAGTTTCGGCCACCTCCCAACTCTGTAAGTGCTTTTTTAAGTGTATTTTTGGGGGTCTGAAATGGACTTACCTACTTTACATTATTCGTTATGGGAACAAATTCGTTCAGTAACAGCACTCAAACAGCCCGGAACGAATTATGGCCGAAACTCTGGGTACCACTGTATTTTATACAGGTATAGAGAGCTTACAACTTTGATAGAGGCTGGATTATAAATATTTTTTCTTGTCTTTTTACTAAATGCATTATTTTGTTTTATGCATGTTTTTAGGTAGATTGTGAAAATCTATGGAAGGTGCTATCCTAATTTTGTATGTCACATATCTTATTTTTAGATTTGCAGGGAGTATCAGTTTTTTTTTTTTTTTCTATGAATTTTAGGATTCACTTTTTTAATTGCACACTAACAAAATTATACCATTTGGTGCTGCTTTATAAGAGGGTTTACTATAAAAATAATGGGGGGAGAACTAAATTCATAGGAGCCATATGACACCTGGGAGTGGAAAGGAATCATATTTAATGAAAGGAAGAGGAGGGGAGGGGAGCTTCAGTTATTTCCATAAAGAGCCTTCACCAGCATGAAGGCATCCCCAACCCCCTTGAAGGGCATTATTGCTATTGAGCTTCCCACAAGTGTAATAATCTACCAGTGAAATGGAGAGCACCACTACTATCCATTTCATAAGTAGGATATTTAGTTTTGTTTATTTCAGTTACTTCATCAGTTTCTTTCCCATTATATTGTATACTAATTTGTGGCTTGTTTGAGTCTTTGGGTTGGTGTGTTTCCTGTGTTGGTTCTAGTCCTTCCTTTCATTTTCTTGGCTTTCCAGTACTTTCAGTTAAATCATTTTATTATTTTATTCTTTTTGTTGCTGTTAAATAACCATTTGATTCCATTTTCTTTCATGTTGCAGATTTTTTTACAATGCTTTTTCATTAGTTTTTCTGAAATACTATTTTCAGTTATATTTTTGTTCTGTAGTTAAAATCCTGTTTTTTTTTTTCTCTAAATCATACCTTGTGGTGTTATTCTTACTAGAATAGAATATAGCATTTTCCAAGTGGTTCACATACTGCTTTCCAGAGATACTTCAAAATACTCCACCCACCTTTTTTCCTCTTTATCTGTTCTGTGGTTCACCGTCTATAAATACTATATTAATCTAGCATAATGACATTCTACTTTTACTGGGAAATAGTCTCCCTCCCTCCTTCATACCCTGACATGATCCTCACTCTGCATAAAAAGCACTTTAATACTTTTAGTAACCTACCTCCTATTCCATACATTTGCCATATAGTTTACCTTTTCTCCCTATTACATGCTTTTATAAATCCCTAAAAGCAACAAACAACTTACCCCTCATTAAAGGACTGCTCACTTATGCTTTAGTGTAAACACTTGGTCTTACACATCTTCTACCCTTCATAAATCCTCTTTGCTCCTCTGTAGTCCTTTCTTACCACTAACCCTTAAAGTAATATTTCTTCCATAAACTTTACCAAATATACTCAACAGGCTTATCCCCCTAAAATTCTTAGTCTCTCTTGTTCCTTTTTCTTTATACAAGGGAACCTTGTATAAAGGGATATTGGGATATTGGCAGTTTGGAGGGATATGTTGTGTATCTTTATATGTTTATGCTTCTAGACTGTTGTATTCAGAGCACCTCTGCAAAAACAGTTATAATGTGCAGTGTGGTGAAAGTGTTGAATGATGATGAAAGTATTTCTTTTTGGGGATTTTCTTTCTTTTTTGGGTAACACCATGCTCGGTGGGTAACGGCCCAACTTTTTGAAAAAAAAAAAAAAAAAAAAAAAAAAAAAAAAAAAAAAATTTTGAATTACACATACCCAACATATATCTCCACCTGCTTTTAACATCAATCTTAACCCTATCCAGCCAGGCTCCTTTACCCCTATTTCAATTTACCCACTACCTGACACACTTTCCTCACTTCCACCTCAGGCTCCTCCTCATTCCCATACAATGTTATTCCTCCCTGCTCCTTGCATGAAAACACTGCCTCCCCTTCATCACTAATGTCTTATAACTTCAAAATATCCTTTCCATCTTTCCAGTACATACTTCCAAATCTTTCATTCTTAACCACTAAGTCCATTTGCTCTCCAGGGTTCCTCACTTTATTGATCTCTCTTTCCAAAATAGTTTCTTATTAGCAAAATTTGCTGCTAAGGACTTCCCCATTTTCTCACTGGCTCTCCTTTTATGCTTCCACACCACTCTTAACCTCCCTCTTAGCATACTTTGCTTTCAGTCTGTCAGTTTTAAAATGGAAAAACTTCTCATTTGCCAATTTCTTTCCACCAGTCTTGCTTTTTCATATCTGCACTCACCCTCCTATACCCACAGACCTCTGCTACACTAGCAATGTATTTTTAAATTTACCCTATATATCCTCTACCACCCCCTCATTTCCTGCAGTTTTTCTAGTGCATCTTTTCCCCCCAATTAGTTGCTTATATTTTTCCAAAACTGTCCTTAATTTTTCACTTTTCTTACCCCATGTTGCCAGTTAACTTGTAATCCAGTCTACCCCATACTCTTATTGTAGCTGCCAGTAAATAATGGATCGACTTCTGAATGTACATTCAGAAGTCTACCCATTCTTGTCTACTAATATTCATTCTTCGAAATTGCTCTCATTGCACTGTCACATCTCTACCATTTACACAACCCGCACATAAAAGAGAGGAGCTTACGACGACATTTCAGTCCGACTTGGACCATTTACAAAGTCACACTGACAAGAAATAGAGCAGGAAGGGTATATATAGGCAGGAAGTGGCAGTAGTAGCAGTGGTAGTGGACGGGGAAGGGAGTAGTAGTGAGGAAGTAAGGAGGAGGAGCCAGTCAAATACTAAGAAAGGAGAGCACTGCAAGGGAGTTAGGTGCCCACAGAGGGTAAGAGCAAGAACACAGAGGGGGGGGGGGAGAGGAAATAAAAATAATGAACAAAAACACAAGGCAGAAGAAAGACAACCCAGAGGAGAAAAAGGAAAGAGGAAGAGGGAGAAGTAAAAGGAGGACTCAAGTTGGGTCACGGGTGTTCTGAAGTTTGGAGCATTTTACAATGTAGTGGGAAAGGAAGGCGTCTACAGAGACGAAGCCAGGACTAAGATTCATACAAGGAAGGTTGTGTATTAGGGAGGATTCAACCAGACATTGACTGTTAAAGTTGGAAATAGGGAAGACAGTTTTAGCAGAAGACCAGTCAATAGGATGGCTGTGATCTCTGACGTGACAGAAAAGAGCATTGTTGGTTGGCAAGCCTAACACTACTTTTGTGTTCCCTAAGTCTGTCATTGAGATTGGCCAGTTTCTCCGAAGTATTGAAGGGGACAGGAGGAACAAGTAGAGTAGACACCAGGAGCATCAGTAGAGGGAGGAGAGGTATGAACGAGATTAGTGCAAAGAGCGTTATTCTGGCAGAAAGTAAGCTTGATGTTTTGCGACTTTGTAAATGGTCCAAGTCGGACCAAAACGTCGTCGTAAGCTCCTCTTCTATGTGCGGGTTATTTGTGTATCATTCCAGCCACGGTATTGTGCCCATTGATTCAGCCATGGTATTAACTGTCTCAACACAACAGCTGTTTCCCACCAAGGCAGGGTGACCCAAAAAAGAAAAATGCTTTCACCATCATTCATATAATATCACTGTTTTTGCAGAGGTGCCCAGATAAGACAGTTTAGATGTCACTCCAAACAATGCGTATCCCAAAACCCCTCCTTTAAAGTGCAGGCATTGTACTAACCACCTCCAGGACCCAGGTCTGGCTAACCAGTTTCCCCTTTCACAAAATATTACCCTTCTCATACTCCAACAGCTTGTCAGGTCCCAAAAACCATTTGTCTCCATTTACTCCTATCTAACATATTCACACATGCCTGCCTCTCTCCTATAGTCAATAAATTTGTTAGCTTTTTTACTTTCCACTTAGTTTTGGTTTGCCTTTGATTCCCCATTTATGTCCCGATAGACCATTTGATGGGTTGGGTTGGCCTCGACACTACGAAACAGTGATATTGCACAGCAACTGGGGCAGCATGAAATACATAAAGGTCAATAAATTTGTTAAAATGTCATTTATTGCTTTTAAGGATGAAGCACAAGAAGCCATCAGTTCACAGAGAGAAGACTTGCAAGAGGAAATCAGTATTCTCAACAGCAGAAGCAGTGAGCTACAGGATACTATGACTCAGCTGAAGGGGGATCTCTATGCAAAATTTGGTAATAATATTAATCTAGAGCCTGAAGAAGAGTAGAAGCTTAGATACCCATTAATTTCAATGGCTTGAAAACTATAACTATTTTAAATTTATTAACCATGGTTACTATATTTAACTGTTGTGTTCAGTGTTATAAACCTGTGGGTTAGTCAGCACTATTCTGGCAAAGCTTCAGAAAGAAACCAAAAGCCTTTATCATGTTTTGTGAGCTAATTATTTTATGGATCAATAAGTCAAATTCAGCAGTTTTAACTTTTTTTTTTCAAGTGCACACAAATGTCTTTCTAGTTACACATCGAAAGGGATTAAAAAAAGAAATACTACATTTATGGTTTTTATTTATAAAATAGTACACTCCAATTTTTAAAAATTGCAATAAGAGTAGGTAAACCAGAAAAAAAATACTAAAATTGATTTAAACATTACAAGGTTTACTTAAAATACAGTACTATATATTGAGATTAATATTTTAAAATCACTTTTGCAGTGTTTTGTATGGGCATTATAAAACACCAACTTTTGATGTAGCCACTACCATGAATACAATAATTAGTCCTGACACATTATCAGTCAAATTGTGTTACCATTAAACACTTATACATACTTTCAAATGAACTTGGTAACAGGTGATTATGGTAGAGAATGTAAATGTTATTACAATGAGCAAGTACTAACCTTGTAAGGATTATAGTGCCTGGGAAATGGGAGGTAATTAAGGGGTCTAATATAAAATGCAAATTAGTTACTAAATTAAGCCAAAAGCTGTTGGGTGCTTTAGAATGTATATTAAATATCTTTGTTCAAAGAATTTTAAAATGTGAATAATCTGGAGGTTTATTGCAAAAAGTTTTTCTTCTCCATTACTCATAAGCTTGTAAAACTGTGGCTATACAGTGGACCCCCGGTTAACGAACTTTTTTCATTCCAGTAGTATGTTCAGGTGCCAGTACTGACCGAATTTTTTCCCATAAGGAATATTGTGAAGTAGATTAGTCCATTTCAGACCCCCAAACATGCACGTACAAACACACTTACATAAATACACTTACATAATTGGTCGCATTTGGAGGTGATCGTTAAGCGGGGGTCCACTGTATTGGCAAGTTCCTGTATTGTATGGGTGAAATATAAATAAACCTGTAGGAACCTGCAGAATTAATAACCATCAATATCTCATTCACAGAAGCACTAAACCCACATGGGATATATCCATCAGTGAATTATTAACAAATAAGTGCTAAACCTGTACAGAGGCACTCACTGTTAAAAGCTATTTACACATTATATATTCAGGAGGGTGGTGCTGGTGCTAAACTCATAAGTGATATACATTATTGCAATCATTTGGAAGCACTAAACCCATAGTTTTACAGTCCCTTGGGAAATGGAAAGCATTTAAGTTTGATCCAATGACTGGGAGGACAAGCTCAATTCCTTGGCTGAAAATCTAGCATAGAGGATCTAGAAAGTACATGGTCAGCATAGCTATACATAGCTGAGGAAGCAGAAGTGTCATCAAGTGTAAACCTGATTCTGGTTAGGAGGGTCATGTATGCTGAATTCAGAGCATGCAAGCCAAAGGTCCCACCAACAAAGTTTTCAGTTCATGGGACCTCTCTAGTGTTCCTTAGTCTATACTACCCGCTGAACAGTCAGATTTCCACCTCACAGCTCCGTCACTTGCTCTCCAGCAATATATATACTGTACCTATGCTTCCCATGTACACTATGGATTTAGAAAAGCTTGATCTCCAAGCAAAAGACTCGTACTATGACATTTATCATTAATAGCATAAAGACCTCTTAATATAGATATTTTGCTGGTTTTGATAAGGCACTTGCCTGATTTAAACTCCTCAAATCATGACATTTTCCCGAGAAAAAGATTTAAAAAAACTTAATCCCTTTTTTTCTTTAGTTGTGTGTGTGCATGCAATACATACATATACATCATTAGTACTGCACACACTGCATGCCTATAGAATTTGAGTATATCCTGATAAGGTCACCTAGTCAAGGCCAAGGCTATCCATGTGATAACTCATCCATTTACTGGCTACATGAATTTGTGCATAACCTGACCAGTGATTCATACATCTACAAAGCCACCCAGTGAAGCAAATCCATAGGAAAATAATTTTTTGCTCCTTTTTTATATTTATATGTAACAGATTTTCAAGCTTAAATACCTTTCATAGACTGCTTTATCTTAAAATATATACAATGGTACCCTGAGTTTCGAACTGCTCCCAACTCGACTAATTATGTAAGTGCTTTTTTAAGTGCATTTTTGGGGGTCTGAAACAGACTAATCTAATTTATATTATTCCTTATGGGAACAAATTCATTCGGTAATGGCACTCAAATAGCCTTCTGCAATAAATAAAGTTCGAAACTCGGGGTACCACTGTACCTCTCCTCTTGTCTTTTGTGTTTACAATTAAGCATATTCCTGACATTTATTAACTTGCTTGAAAGAATCTTAATTTTAAATATGTACCTATATACTGAGAATTAGACACCTAATTATGAAAAGATAACTTATCTACGTTTGACAATTTTAATATACCACTGCTTCCCTTAAGGGTGGTTCGTTAATGGCAGTAAAGGGCTCTTGATTGAAGCAACTAGACCTTTTCTTCCCTTCCTTGAATCAAACCTGTCTCCCATTTTTCCCTAGGTGCTGTTCAATCTGTTAAGAGTTTAGCACTTCCCATATTATATAATACACCACCACTCAAAACGAGGTACTATTGGTATATGTGATATGAAAATATTCACTAGCCTTGAAACTTATCCTCTAAAAAAAAAAAAAAAAAATGTATTTACTTATATGTCAGTTGCATAAAATGTGCCTTTTCACCTATCTAAGGATGGCAGACATTTACGGTAAACATTTCATTTGCTATTTCCTACAAAGAAAATTTTAAGTTTAATGTTAAAACATTTGCTGAAGAAATCTAAAGATGAGGATACTACACAAATAAAATAAATGCCACTTTCATATGTTGTTGCTTAGGGATTTACAAAGAATGAGGCTTGCTTAAGCAAATGTATAGAAAGACTAAGTGGAAGTAAGAAAATGTACATTCCCTAAAAACAAAAATGTCACTCGAGAAGTATATTATAAAAATGAATAGCAAACCACCATACAATTTAAATAAAAGAAATAACTGAGTGATGAAGCAGTTTCCTGCCTGCTTTCTAGCAGTAGTACTATTAAGGGTGACTTACATCTAACCATTACCTATCAGATTTGATAGCTTGAACTAGTTATTGGTTGAATTATCTTCGACAAGAGACGGCTGGCATGTTAACTGTCCAGCTATCACTGCCTTTATAATTTGTACTAAACAATTTGAGATCCTATATTAGTTTAGGTGACAAAAACTTACCTTTCTTATAGACTAATGAATAATTCTCTTCTTAACTGAATCTTAACTAAGGCCTGATTATGGAATGGTCAACAGGGGTGTTGACCCCTCAGAAAACCTTCCAGGTATACTCATCCCATTAAGTCACTCACAGGCATTCTTAACTTCAAAAAAATAATTAGGCTTTTTACTGGAACACTGAAGTCACAAAAATGCTTAAATTACTGTAACACTACAAGAACATTAAAATTCTTTTTTTTTTTCTTCAAGTTTTTGCATTACAGCATAAAACTTTTTGAAATCTTTGGTAATAATTACATGTTTATAAGTAATGCTCCTGGATACTGTTATGATGTCTAGCCACATGATGGAAGACACTGGAAGCTTCACCAGTGATAAAAGACTTACCTGAGCATACAAGATCATTGTTACAAAATATTTCAAGAGAAATATGGGATATCTAAAAGTTAATATTTTCTACAATGGAATTTAATAAGAAAGATCCATACTTGCATAAATATGAGATTGCATATCAAACAAAAAAATATTACAATAAAAGAATGCAGGGATCATGTGAATTCCTAAAATAAGTAATTCCAGCTCCACAGTAACTGATACCTTTACAAAGCAGTGTCTATACAAACTCGCCAAATAAATTTTTTAATGCAGTTCTCCACAAGGACAGCATATAATACAAAATTAAGACTATCACAAATTACTGTATTGTCATAAAAAATGCCATACACATAAGCAGTGAAAATGCCCAATAGAACTGAAACCTATCACAGCAGCAAATACTGGCACTTGTATTACACTGTCCTAAGAAATATTTTTGCAATTAATGTGTAATTTTAAAGTTAGATGTACAACTGCAAATTTGTTTAATTTTCCTCTGCTATATGAATAACACAATTCTGATTAAAATATTACTTCATGGAATTCTTAACACTAAAAATTATATTTGCTGTAATTTTAATTGGCTTAAAAATTTGCATAAATGCTTGAGAAACATGTTTATATAAATGCATTACACTAATAAAACCCTCTCATTCATCCAGTCATGGCAGCTATACAAACCTACCAATTTGCATCAAAAAAGTACATTCTTTCCAACAAGTATGTGCAATCTTTATGTCCTTACATATACAGTATGCATGTATATTTATTTATACACATATCTAGCAAAACAAAACTAGTCATTTATAAAAGCTAGTACCAATATACAGATAGCAAAAATAGTATTATTCCTATTTAAAATATGGGAATGCTATAGAAAAATATACAATATTAGAAATAAGAAATGCTACAAATCCAGTATGAAAAAAGCATTACATGAAGTGATGGCACTTTTGAGAAAAAAAAAAACTAACATTTACATTATAATATTTTTAGAGGATTATATACTTTAAATCCACTGTCAAGAAGAACAAGGGAGGACTGAAACATTAATTTAAAAAAAGTCATAAATATTGAAGGTACTGTATAGCGTATGCTTACAAGATTATAAAACTGGCATTAAAAATTTTTATCAGGCCACACAATGAATGCAAAAAAGCATGCCCAAAAACTTGTGATTTAGTATGACTGTTGTATATATAACAAGATAAAATTCATCTCGAGTAATATCATTCCAGACTTTAAAGAAAATATTATCTAGCATTTGGCTGAAAGTCTAGAATACTTGATCAGTGGTATACATAAATATTTTTTATTGCTCTTCTAATCAATGCTTACATATTTTATGAATTTAAAATAATGCAAGCTGCCAGCTGTAACCAATGATAAGCAAGAGTGGTACCTAACAAGCAGCAACTATACATTATCACAGACTATCACTAGCTCTGCATTAGTGCTACTGCTACTCATCATTGTAGCACTAATACTGATGCTACTCACCATTAATACTCCTACTGCTAATCATCACGGCACTAATACCGATGCTGCTACTCATCACAGCAAGCCATTAATACTGTAGTGAAGACTGTTCCCCAGTTGAACTACATCCTCTCGTGCTGTAGGACATTACCCACATTAATGTATTAATCAATTTCCAGTGCATTCTACTTGTTACATCTGGTTTTGTTAATCTACTCTACTCATTACATTTATGCATAACTATACAGAGAAATTTAAATCTATGGATATTAAGAGAGTTGAGTGTTTGACAGGGTACATACATCAAACTTTCTACAGTGTTCTACTTGAAAGACATTAAGCTTGTGTAAATATTACAGCAGTACTTCTACACTAACCTATGAAACCAAACTGCTCTGTAGCATCTACAGCAGAATCAACTTTACTATCCTCCTCATTTTCGTCGATCTGTTCTCTGCACTCTTGCAGCTTTATGACCCCCATTTCCATTATTTCCATAAGTCTGGGCTCAACATCCCCTAGTAATGGTCGTTTGGAAGGATCTCCAGCCCAGCACTCTTGCATGAGGCACCAACACTTGTCTTCAAACACAGGGAGTCGTTCTGGTCGTGCACCTGGATAAAAGTTCAAGAGCATAATGAACAATACTGTATTAATATGAGACGCCTTTTTGCACCTGGATATATATGTTAAATCATATTACTGTGAAACACTTTTATGCAGTATGCTAATCTTATGACCTATATGACAATGTTTCACTTGATTTACAAGCATTTGCAACTTGGGTAGGAAAGAAAAAGGATAATTACACAACAGATCTGCATCAGAAACATGACATGATGGATAATTCAACTGCAATGGGCCAGTCACCTGTTGTAACACCTAATTTATACTTTTGTCTGGTATATATGCTCTTTACTTCATATTCTCTACTGACTTGAAAGAGCTTGTAAATCAAGTGAAACATCATATACACGAAGTTTCCTTACTGCATTAAGTCTCTCTCGTTTTATTTTGTTCGTCTAGTTAAAGTTAACCCTATACAAAAACTAAAATGATCAACACAGCAGTATTTCATAAATGTTACACCTTACTGTACGTTTACGAGCAAATTTTCCAATACAGTGGACCATCTCCCCCCCCCCCAACATCATGGCCGAGTAGGGACAGGAGGAATGATTTATTATAAGAGCAAACAATATGTTATATGTTATGTAAATTGAATTTTTCCTTCCAAGACCATGGAGATGAGAACCTGGACAATAAAATGCATTCAACAAAGATGAGCCTATTGTTTAGAAGCTTAATGGTATTATATCCATTTTACGAGTGCATTACATAAAAAATATGAAAAAAATTATTGCAAAATTAGTGGTCAAGAAACATCACGGGTTTATGTTATTGTATTCAAGGGTTCTGATGGCATCTTGACTGTTGGCTTATTGAATTCAAAGGTTGTAATAGCTAGGATATCACAACCTTTCAACTCAACAATAGTAGACAGCCTAGAAACTGCCACGAACCAACAATAACAAAAATACAATACTTCCTGACTACTTTTTTAAGAATGAACAACTGGTCATCTACACTGCAAACTGAATAGAGCCATTAGAATGGCAACCATAAGTTAACTTAAGACTGAGCCTGACTCATTGATTAGTACTGATTTTGTCATCACTGAAGGCTCAAGACTTGCATAAGCTCATTGGAGAAGCCAGACGTAGATACAGTGGACCCCCGGATTAAGCAGTTGTCGGATTTCGTAACATTTGGAATAAGTAACGTTTTTTTCATCAAAATGTTGGCTTGGTGATCGTCACTGAACTCTCTAACAGGCATTCGTCCCGAATGTGTCCATGCAGCCCAACACACCATTTACAGCCAGTGTGCAGTTGTTTATCAGCCAGTGAGGACAATCCCACGCATTCATAAGATACAAAATGTATTATTCCATTCTTTTAAGTGCTTGCAGCTACTAAATAAGCCACTGTGAGCCAAAAGAAAGCTCCTAGTGCCAATCCTTTGGTAAAGAAGGCTATAAACACGATAGAATTCAAGAAAGAACACACCAGACAGGGTACTTCCCCACACACCAGACAGGGTACTTCCCCACACACACCAGCCAGGGTACTTCCCCACACACATGAATTGATTTGAGTGGGACTTGCACATGAGTGAATAGAATTATCAATGCTTATTGCTTGGGAAGCATTGAAAATTGGGTTGGGCAAATACAATTCTGTTAGTGGGATGGTTTGTGAAGGACCTGCCTAGTATGGGCCAACATGCCTGCTGCAGTGTTCCTGCTTTCTTATGTTTTTATGTACACCAGCTCGCTCGATCGATCGATCGATAGATAGATAGATAGATAGATAGATATAGATATAGATATATATATATATATATATATATATATATATATATATATATATATATATATATATAGAGAGAGAGAGAGATAGAGAGAGAAGAGAGAGATAGAGAGAGAGAGAGAGAGAGAGAGAGAGAGAGAGGAGAAGAGAGAGAGATAGAGAGATAGAGAGGATAGAGAGATAGAGAGAGAGAGATAGAGAGAGAGAGATAGAGAGAGAGAGAGAGAGAGAAGAGAGAAGAGAGAGATAGAGAGAGAGAGAGAGAGAGAGAGAGAGAGAGAAGAGAGAGAGAGAGAGAGAGAGAGAGGAGAGAGAGAGATAGAGAGAGAGAGAGAGAGAGAGATAGAGGAGAGAGAGAGAATAGAGAGATAGAGAGAGAGAGAGATAGAGAGAGAAGAGATAGAGAGATAGAGAGAGGAGAGAGATGAGAGAGAAGAGATAGAGAGAGAGAGAGATAGAGAGAGATAGAGAGATAGAGAGAGAGAGAGATAGAGAGGAGATAGAGAGAGAGAGAGATAGAGAGAGAGAAGAGAGATAGAGAAGAGAGAGAGAGAGAGAGAGAGAGAGGAGAGAAGAGAGAGAGAGAGAGGGAGTAGAGAAGAGAGCAGAGAGAGAGGAGGAGGAGGGGGGGGGGGAGAGGGGAGGGAAGGAAGAAGGCACCTTCTTCAAAGATTAAGGACATTTGTGCAAAGTGGAGCGAGGTGCAAGCATTTGTGGAGGAACATCACCCTAACCCTCTCCCCTCCTCCTGTCTTCCATACACCAACAAGAGTCTTCAATAAAGGTAAGTGTGATGTTATTATTGTTTTATACTCTATTTCTCATTCTTTTCTGTATGTAAATCTATATTTAATCTATAAAAAATAATTTTTGTTAATACTTTCAGGTGTCTGGAACGGATTAATTGGATTTACATTATTTCTTATGGGGAAAATTAATTCGGGAATCGTCAGTCACTCTGGAATGGATTAATTATGAAAACCGGAGGTCCACTGTACTTAAAAATCTGGGAAAAAGAGAATTAATGTACAATTTTTATGGATTCCATTGTACACTGAATTACTCCTTTATGATAACGGTGGTGAGATAACCAAAGAAAGCACCCTAACAGAAATCATAGAATATAATGTTTTGTGTTTAGCATTAGGAATAATATTAGGATATAAGTAAATAACTGTCCACAGGGAAGTGGAAAAGAATTCTTCCTCTGTAAGCCATGTGTGTCATAAGAGGCGACTAAAATGCCAAGAGCAATACTAAATGTATAGAGGAAAAACTTTCATTTTTCTTTTTAGGTCACCCTGTCTCAATGGGAGACAGCCAATATGAGAAAAAAAAAATGAAAATATCATAACACAGTTGGAACCCTAAGTAGATCTATCACTATGATAACATGGATGAAAATAAGTATATTCATGGAACAACTTGTAATGTGAACAGACTCACTGATGTAGTAGCAGGCTTAAGCTTGGTTACAAGTACTGACAATCCACAGATACACACACAATGATCAAACTAAATCCACTTTCTTAAACACTATGTGATTAATTGTCCACATATTTAGGAATATACAAGTAGACAGTATAACCTATGTGATGTCAAGGTATCTTATTAATGAAAATGAGATCAGACATATTAAGTAAATATCCTAAACTTGCAACAGACAAGTCAACTATAGATATATATCCATATGTACTAATATTAACCTTTTTGAGGCTTAGTTCCTAGGCCTTTTGTGCATCCACATGCTCTTATGCTACCATTCACAGGATGGATACTAGGTGCACAACAAACTAGCCACTTTGGCATTAAATCTTAGATACTATTTTAATGATTTTTGTGTTCTGTGCACTCACAAAACAGGGGTTATAACACCACTATGCCTCTACTAAAGAAGGGGACCATCTCTGGTGAAGGGAGATGATCACAGTCTGTCTCCTGGGGTGATGATCAATTTATATATAGTAATGTATATTGTAAAAAATTATTCTCACTTTCCTTAAATTTTAACTGATGATGCAGAGGATATGAAAAAAATGTGAGTATTGACTGCTGATAAACACTGTCGAGTGCTAATGCAGAAAATAGCTGATTTAGATATTGTACGAGTGGAAGAGGTAGTTACAAGGTAAAAGGGGAAGGGTTAGCAGCCAGGAATCTAGGTCAATGTTCGAGTGGGAGGTAGTCTAAGCCTGAGAGGGTTTTTTCGTGTCTTCGTTATTCAAAATTACATTTTATGAATAGTCAATAAGCTGAGGTACAATGTAAGTATTTTTGACATTAAAATTCTACATGCTAATAATTAAGTTTTTCATTTGTATTATGTCAAGAAAGATGGAGATTTTTTAAAATGAATGTAGCAAGTCTTAGAACAGCAAAGTTAAGCACAATAGGTAATAACAATGATGGGTAAAGACTAAAAAGGAACAGTACTGTGACTGGAACAATGCACAAATAACCCGCACATAGGAGAATGCAACTTATGATAATGTTTCGGACTGAACTGGACTATTAACTAGTCACATTAGTCCAAGTTGGACCAAAACATCACAGGTTTCATTCTCCTATGTGTGTGTTATGTAATGGATAACTACCAATATGACTATGAAACAATCAGAGAATTTATAATTATAGTACAGTTTCAACACCTATCTAATTATATTTTTATTCTGCATATATAGCACTACATCATATTATGTATGCAACTGTAAACAAATTCATGGCTTCTTTACTTCTAATACAGCTTGAAAATATGCAACAATGTGATTAATATACATTTTAGAGTGCTAACATTACTTAATTACCCTTTTTAACACAATTCCACAGTTGGTCCTTGGATTGGCATTGTTCAAAGATGAGTGGTAGTCTGACATGGCCAGCACAGATATACCAAAAGAGAATACCAAATGCATATACATCAACACTGTTGTCATAATGCCCTGTGAAGAGTTCTGGAGCCATATGTATTGGAGTGCCCACAATGCTCCCAGACATCATTGCTTCAGGCTTACAGAAGCCTAAATCTGTCAGCTTTGCTCGGTTATTTTTGTCCAACTGAAAAAAAAAAAAAATGAAATTTTTGTATTATACAGTATATGCATCCTCTGACAATTCACTTTCAAAACATTTTACCCCATAATCAACAGCACTTTTTATTTCTCATGCTGGCCATCTCCTACCGAGACAGGGTGACCCAAGAAAGAAACACTCGCCATCATTCACACTATCACTGTCTTACCGTGGGCATGCAGAAATGTACAAAGTAAATATATTTTTTTCAAAAATACAGCCCAACACAATACATAAGCTTGTTAAAATTAGTAAATATAATTACATACAGCCTCTCCTCACTTAATGACAAAGTTCTATTAATAATACAGCATCGGTAAATGAATCTGTCGCTAAATGAGGAACATATTATAATGAAAGTGGGTTTATGTCACCCATCTTTGATATTGCTTTAATGTCACCTTTGCACCATTTATAACACTTTTAGTATATTTTTAAATGTTTATACAGTAGTGTAGTGTATAATGTAATTAACAGAATAGAGGAAATCAGCTCTAATATACATTATTTAGGCATGTATACTGGTCAGAGAGCCCGTCGTATGTCGAGTCATCGGTAAACGAGTACATTGCTAAGTGAGGAGAGGCTGTAATTACATGATACCAGAGACTATTTTCTTGTTAAATATCTTCAGGGCTTTTCATAAAGAGGATGTCATGGATACCAAATAACAAAATATTCATCTCTTATCAGATTTTTTTTTTAAAAGTGTGAGGAAAAAAAGATGACCAAGTCTTTGTATAACCACTCTTCTTTTATCTACATGCATAGATGAAAGAAAATTGCACTAATAAAAAATAAAATACACCTAAACAACAATGTACTAACTAAGCCATGTTCAAAAATAAAACATTTTAATTTTTTTTACTTCTATCATTCATCTATCAAGGTAGGGTGACCTCAAATAAAAAACAACAACAGGAAACATTCACCATCATTTATTCAAACACAGTTTTCTTACCAAAACGTTCTTAAGCTTTATATCTCTGTGCACGAGACCCTGAGAGTGTAGAAAGCGTATTCCTTGTGCCACATCGAGAGAAATCTGTTGGGACAGAAATAAACAAGAAAAGATTAAAGATTATTTCCTGAAGTAGTATTTAGTCTGAAAAAGTATATCTAATAGTAAAATATATACAAGTCACCTGAAAGCAAAATTAAAATTAACCTTTCTGTAAAACATTTATAATTTAATAGGATTAAACATTAAAGCCTGTATCATAAATTGTATAGTCAGATATAATGAGAGAAGAACAGCAGAAGCAATAATAAGAATAAAGAAGACAATTATTATTACCTATTGAATAGCTAAAGAATCAAACAAAAACAACTTCATTTTATAGTGCACTGGCCAGGGAGGTATACCATCTTTTAGGAGTGAAGAAGAGCAGAATGTAAGTGTGGTGGAGGTACGTGAGGCATTACGTAGAATGAAAGGGGGTAAAGCAGCTGGAACTGATGGGATCATGACAGAAATGTTAAAAGCAGAGGGGGATATAGTGTTGGAGTGGTTGGTACTTTTGTTTAATAAATGTATGAAAGAGGGGAAGGTACCTAGGGATTGGCAGAGAGCATGTATAATCCCTTTATATAAAGGGAAAGGGGACAAAAGAGATTGTAAAAATTATAGAGGAATAAGTTTACTGAGTATACCAGGAAAAGTATACGGTAGGGTTATAATTGAAAGAATTAGAGGCAAGACAGAATGTAGGATTGCGGATGAGCAGGGAGGCTTCAGAGTGGGTAGGGGATGTGTAGATCAAGTGTTTATAGGGAAGTTTTTATTGCATTTATGGATTTAGAAAAGGCATATGATAGAGTGGATAGAGGAGCAATGTGGCAGATGTTGCAAGTATATGGAATAGGTGGTAAGTTACTAAATGCTGTTAAGAGTTTTTATAAGGATAGTGAGGCTCAGGTTAGGGTGTGTAGAAGAGAGGGAGAATACTTCCCGGTAAAAGTAGGTCTTAGACAGGGATGTGTAATGTCACCATGGTTGTTTAATATATTTATGGATGGGGTTGTAAAAGAAGTAAATGCTAGGGTGTTCGGGAGAGGGGTGGGATTAAATTATGGGGAATCAAATTCAAAATGGGAATTGACACAGTTACTTTTTGCTGATGATACTGTGCTTATGGGAGATTCTAAAGAAAAATTGCAAAGGTTAGTGGATGAGTTTGGGAATGTGTGTAAAGGTAGAAAGTTGAAAGTGAACATAGAAAAGAGTAAGGTGATGAGGGTATCAAATGATTTAGATAAAGAAAAATTGGATATCAAATTTGGGAGGAGGAGTATGGAAGAAGTGAATGTTTTCAGATACTTGGGAGTTGACGTGTCGGCGGATGGATTTATGAAGGATGAGGTTAATCATAGAACTGATGAAGGAAAAAAGGTGAGTGGTGCGTTGAGGTATATGTGGAGTCAAAAAACGCTATCTATGGAGGCAAAGAAGGGAATGTATGAAAGTATAGTAGTACCAACACTCTTATATGGATGTGAAGCTTGGGTGGTAAATGCAGCAGCAAGGAGACGGTTGGAGGCAGTGGAGATGTCCTGTCTAAGGGCAATGTGTGGTGTAAATATGCAGAAAATTCGGAGTGTGGAAATTAGGAGAAGGTGTGGAGTTAATAAAAGCATTAGCCAGAGGGCAGAAGAGGGGTTGTTGAGGTGGTTTGGTCATTTAGAGAGAATGGATCAAAGTAGAATGACATGGAAAGCATATAAATCTATAGGGGAAGGAAGGAGGGGTAGGGGTCGTCCTCGAAAGGGTTGGAGAGAGGGGGTAAAGGAGGTTTTGTGGGCGAGGGGCTTGGACTTCCAGCAAGCGTGCGTGAGCGTGTTAGATAGGGGTGAATGGAGACGAATGATACTTGGGACCTGACGATCTGTTGGAGTGTGAGCAGGGTAATATTTAGTGAAGGGATTCAGGGAAGCCGGTTATTTTCATATAGTCGGACTTGAGTCCTGGAAATGGGAAGTACAATGCCTGCACTTTTAAAGGAGGGGTTTGGGATATTGGCAGTTTGGAGGGATATGTTGTGTATCTTAATACATATATGCTTCTAAGCTGTTGTATTCTGAGCACCTCTGCAAAAAGTGATAATGTGTGAGTGTGGTGAAAGTGTTGAATGATGATGAAAGTATTTTCTTTTTGGGGATTTTCTTTCTTTTTTGGGTCACCCTGCCTTGGTGGGAGACGGCCAACTTGTTGAAAAAAAAAAAAATTAAATCTGTTCATAGGTAGTAGGTTGGTAGACAGCAACCGCCCAGGGAGGTACTACCGTCCTGCCAAGCGAGTGTAAAACGAAAGCCTGTAATGGTTTTACATGATGGTAGGATTGCTGGTGTCCTTTTTTCTGTCTCATGTACATGCAAGATTTCAGGTATGTCTTGCTACTTCTACTTACACTTAGGTCACACTACACATACATGTACAAGCACATATATACACACCCCTCTGGGTTTTCTTCTATTTTCTTTCTAGTTCTTATTCTTGTTTATTTCCTCTTATCTCCATGGGGAAGTGGAACAGAATTCTTCCTCCGTAAGCCATGCGTGTTGTAAGAGGCGACTAAAATGCCGGGAGCAAGCGGCTAGTAACCTCTTCTCCTGTATATATTATTAAATGTAAAAGGAGAAACTTTCGTTTTTCCTTTTGGGCCACCCCGCCTCAGTGGGATACGGCCGGTGTGTTGAAAGAAAGAAAGAAAGATCTAAATCTGCTATGCTAGCAGTCAAAAATACTTGAGCTTAAGTTTTATGCCATATCTATATGTATAGGGAACCCTCTCATTAATGGACTTTTGGGGGGAGGGGGTGTATGTGACTGTCAATTGTCTGAAACTTCCAAATTATGAAATTAATGTTTCATGACGATTCAGTTATCTTCTAAACTATTGGGCTTGGTCCACTGATGCAGAGAACTGGACACTAAGAATACGGGTATTGTAACCTGTTGTACTACAGTTCTGTAGTGTACAGTAATTTTATAGTATTTTACATAATTTACAGTAATTTTACTTCCCTTTTTGTGTTGGAGACGAGATGTAAACTGCTGTGATCGATGGTGGTGATGCGGAACAAGTTATTCTCAGTTAAAGGAGCTGTACAGCTTCAGTAGCTCCTACAGTAAACTTAATAGCATAATCTGTATTTTGTATTTGCTTCTTCAAATATCAAGATACATTTTCTTAACACCATATTCCTCATATACCAGTGTCACTGAGATGCCAGACTCAACCTTCTTTATTAGTTCAGTTTCTGTTTAACACTGAGAACCAAACATTTCCTCTTGGCACCACCACTTGCTTTAGAATCCATTGTTAATTGCACTTTCTTTAATATGTTAATAAAGTCACATAAAATTATGAATTATGAACCTTTATCCATTTTGTCCGTTACTTTTATTTGTCTGAAATTGCCAAATTCCATTAATGAGAGATTTTACTGTACTTACCTGCAGTCTGATTAACCAATCGAGCCCATTTTTGATAGCAGAGTAGAGGTCCCGATTGAGCCTATCCATTATGAGCAAGACTGCTGGAGTCTCACCCTGACCGTAGGAGTGGTCAATCACACTCCCACGCAAGGCAACAATCCTCTCATGTTCCGGAACACTTCTGCAATGTCACAAGCAGCAGCAGCAATGAATAATAACAGTCATATATAACAAGATGCATAGATTATGGAGCTATCATATCTGTGCACCTTTGGCAAGACAATGATAGTGTGAACGATGGTGAAAGTTTCTTTTTCAGGTCACCCTGCCTCAGTGAGAGATGACCAGAGTGTTAAAAAAAATGTAACAAGCCACTGTGAAGTCATTAGCTATTATACCTTGGTCGAACTTTTTGTACTACTGTTGTCTAGAGCAAAAAGAACTATATATTAAATACTCTCGCTACCTACCACAATCATATTACCGAGTCAAACATGCAGGAGCTTGTATTGTAGCAATTAATCAATTTAATTACTGAAGAAGCTTTCATATTTTGACTATTAGCTACAATTAAATATTGAAGAATCAATATTATTATTATTATAATAAAAAAGAAGCTCTAAGCCACAAGGGCTATACAGCGCTGCCCGAAGAATCAATAGAAATATCCATTAAATTTTCTAAATTTTGTTGTTTATATCGCAGTAAGAAAAATACACAAGGAAATGGCAACAAGAGAAACAAAATAATACTTCTGAAAGGTTATTCATGAGTCTGATAGTGCATCAAACCTATCAAAAATTTTAGCAGCCAGAATTACAAAATGACAGAACCCAATGCTTTTGTTTTGCGAGCACACAGGTAAAATTGATCTAATTGTGAAGATGATCAAATAATAAGATTTTTCAATGAGCTAATAATCCCATATAAATTTATATTAGGTCTGGTGAAAATGAAAAAAAAAACTGTAGTTTAGTGTGTGAACAAATTGTTACTTTTTTTTTGTCCCATTCCCTGGATCAAGAGCCCCTCACCAGCATCAAGGAACCTTCCTTGAGAGGCCAAATTGTTGCTGTATGAAAAATAATAGGCGAGATAAAATAATATAGTAGAATACGTGCCTGGTATAATGGAATTCCATTGCCAAATCATTCCAGTGCTTCTCATCAAGTGGCACTAGAGATTTGACTGCACATGGACGAAAACCACCCCATGACTCACACCCATACACCACTCCATACTGGCCCCTGCCAAGCTCTCTGTCAAGTCTTGGCATTCCTGAGGATACAAAAGTGTAAGTGAGGATTGTACAGTAGATATACTGTATTAATAGGTGGGGAACAAGACTAGCTGACCCGTGCCATCATTACTGTAAATAAAACTCCCCTCATTTGAGATATTCGACTTGTCAAGAATTACATATTTACTATTATGGCGAAGACAACTTGGCAGGGATGCTTTCTCCTGCCATTTTAATTGCCCCTTACAACACATGGCAATTATAAAATTTTTCATTTAAAAATTAAATAATAATAAATGGATACACAAAGCCAGGAATTATGTAAAAAGTGGTTTTTATCATAAACCAATAAATATATTGATGAAAAATTAAAGGACTTTGAGAAAATTTTTACCAAAAAGGATCATATCCCTGAGTGAGGTAGATTCTAAAGAGAGTCGAGCAAGTTTTGGGGCATCCACTTTTTTAATTCGAGTCTGCTGGCCTTCTGTCTTTTCCAGTCGAGATGTTAATTGTGCTTCCAGCTGCTTAAGGCTCCCAAGGAAAGAATCATGACTGTTTTTCAATCTCTCACGGAACTGTAAAAACAAAATGTAAATATAAGCAACAGTTCATCCCTCTAGATATTTAACTAAAAATTTAATTGAAAACAATTAGGGAAGTTCCAATGTAAAATTGAATTCCAACTAAAGACAGGTTATTACAAACTACGGGTGCTCCACGACTTATGATGGGGTTACGTTCTGATGAACCCATTGAGAATATCTTATGTTGAATATGAATTTGATATGATAAGTAAATAAGTACTGTCACTGAATAAGTAAATAAACATTTAATTACTGTAACTAAATACCAGTACTGAAAAGTAAATAAATGAATACAAGTTTATCCCATCAATAAATATACAGTACAGTACAAATGTGCATCGCTATTGCACCACTGCAGTTGAACCACTGTAAAGCGAGGAGCATCTGTACTGTGTTAAAATACACAAGTAGAAGAACTAACAGGCTATATGATGGTATACTGAGTAGCTAAGGCTAAAACTTAACACTTAGACTGTCACTCAAAGATCTACATGACTGGGGCCAGTGCCACCTACATAAATCTATGCATAAAGCAGTGTCCCCAAATATACTGGGAGTGGCAAAGTGTGGCCTAGACATGAGAGAATGTGTGTCTGCAGCAAGTGTGCAAGGAATAAAAGAAATCCTGCAGTGCATGATAGTCCTGTAGTGCATGATAGGAACTTACCTCTGACCTAGTGTTCGGGTTAAAACCGCAATATTTTCATCACTTTCAAGTGGAAGTGGACTGAAATATGCCTCCAAGTGACAGAAATGGTAAAGTATTGGTGATTTGATTTTCTGAGGGAGTGTAAGGATCTCCTTTCCCAGTCTCCTATCCGTATTTTTACTAGGTTTCCTTCGATTACTGAAATGGCCTAAACCACGAGCAAGTATTTTCAGTTATCACTTATTAGTTAAGAAATAGGTAAATAAATAAAAAAAAAAAAAGAGAGAGAGAAAGAGAGAGAGAAAGAGAGAGAAAGAGAGAGAGAAAAGAGAGAGAGAGAAAGAGAGAGAAGAGAGAGAAGAGAGAGAGAAAAGAGAGAGAAAGAGAGAAAGAAGAGAGAAAAGAGAGAGAAAAGAGAGAGAAAAAAGAGAGAGAAAAAGAGAGAGAAAAAGAGAGAGAAAAAGAGAGAGAAAAAGAGAGAGAAAAAGAGAGAGAAAAAGAGAGAGAGAGAGAAAAAGAGAGAGAAAAGAGAGAGAGAAAAAGAGAGAGAAGAAAGAGAGAGAGAAGAAGAGAGAGAGAAAGAGAGAGAGAAGAGAGAGAGAGAGAAGAGAGAGAGAGAGAGAGAGAGAGAGAGAGAGAAGAGAGAGAGAGAAGAGAGAGAGAGAGAGAAGAGAGAGGAGAGAGAGAGAAGAGAGAGGAGGATGTGATGGTAGGAGTTCAAGAATGGAGAGAAATGTGTAATGGATTCAAAACAGAGAGAGCCTGCAGATGCGATTAATGAACAGAGGGGATGGTTGCTTTAGTGGCTCGAATGCTTACAGTGTTATGGATGTTGTTTTCAACTGAAATTTGTTGAAAAAATTGTGTAAAATGGAAAATTTCTTGAGAAAACAAACAGAAGGGAAGGCACCTCGAAGTGGGTATGGATTACAGAAAATTTTCCATTTTTGATGTCAATACCTCTAAAAAAAAATTATCTTAGCATTTTAAAAAAATAAAGTTACTTTTTCTTTTTTAAATGGCACCGCTAAAGCTTTCAACTGGGAGAAATGCTGACAGAAAATTAGGTCTGATCCAAAAGGCAAACCACTAGCAATAGTAAAGAAGTGACAAGTTGCAGAACATGCTTTTATTGATACGAATTACTATATAGAGCATTAAGTCATGACTTGATAAAGCTTTGAGCAGAGCTTAGTGTTGTCCCAAAAAAAGTTTGTCCTGAATCTTGTTTCTTCACTGAAAGAATTCAATTACAATATTGGGATGGGAGAGAATCACACTGGTATACTAGAAAATAAAATTAATAAACCATGGAAACCCGAGAAGAGTATACATACTGTATATACTCCCCAGCACTAGCAATAAACCTATTATTATTTATAACTAACTGAACATTCCAGTAATTGTTATCTTTTAATATAAAATTTCACAAACTAGAACAAACAATTTTGGTAATTAGTAAATAGTCAACTTTACCTGAGCACATATACTCTTTGTGAGTTTAGCTTCTGATAGACTTGAAATCATCTCTGAGGCAACTTTTCTTTTCCATTCGGCATCAATAACTGGTGGTGTTCTCCCAGGCATAGCTGCTACGAGTTGCTTCATTTTCTCCCAGAGAGAGCGAAGAACTGATGACGAGGTGGTCACTGTCAACTGAACTTGATACGCAGCATTTACCATCTGTAAAATATTGTACAGTATAAAGCCTATGAAATACAGTACAAATATGAACAGATTTCAATTAGCAAGTTTGAATAGTGCAAATTTCAATTTAATGCAGATTAATGCTAGTCATCTTTCCTCAAACTCTTCAAATCGTGTGCAAAAAAATATTACGTATAGTAGGAATTTGAATAATGAGACCACTCCATGAGATTCATTATATAAAATGTAGAACATGTCAGAAAGTGTGCAGGGAAAGCTCATCAAATGACAGAAGATTGGTACAAGTGCCAAATTGGACAGAGGTCTTTGATAAGAAAGCATGCCATTATTACAAGTGGGTTATTCGAGTGGTTATGTACTTGTTTGAGTGCATCTCCAATGTGGGGATTTTCACCACAAGCTCGGCAGTCCTTCTCCAAGCTTTCCAGACAGCGCTGCAATGTTCCTAAGTACGAATCTCTCATAACATCCACACGATCAACAAGCTGACGGCCAACTTCACCATTGAGAGAGCCAATAACAAGTTCCTGTATTTCTCCAGTGCACTGTCGAACCTGTCTCCCACAAATCGCCTCGCTAGTTGATAAACTTTCACCATCTGCAAATGTAAAATGATAGAGACAACCTATTTGTCCTAACTACACTTTTTTTAATCCCACATCAACTGTCTCGTACCAAGGTAGTGACCCAGAGGAGGACACATTCATCATAACCAAGCACAAATAAATAACAGGATCTGAAATGTACAAAGAATGAGAGGAACTGGAATTAAAAAAAAAAAAAAAAAAAAAAAAAAAAAAAAAAAAAAAAAAAAAAAAAAAGATACACAAGAATGAAGTGATAAAAAATACAGTACAAGAATGCTTCCATGGAACATGCATTTAAGGTTAAAAATCTATAAATATTATATTTTAAGAATCTGATAGGTTTATGGCTGCCAAAATTTTGTTACAGAATAAAAACCTGTAATAAATCTGATTTCCTTCAAACCAACATCCATACTTGTGAAATTTTCAATTACTGGTTCAGTAGTTGTAAAATAAGGTAAAAACAACAAACTATATGACTGATCAAGCAGTAAACCAAAGGAAGATTTTAACAGTCACCTGAAAACCAATTCATTTAAGTACTGTACAGTTTCTTTACCATTTAAACATTAATTTTTCTACATTTAAAATTTTCAATTATAAAAAGTACTTATTAAATAGCACAGTACATTTGTTATAATAGTTTTAACCAATTACTTTTTACAAAATCTGTATAATACAGTTTCAAGCAGGCAATGCACAAACTGGCCAGGATGCAGACGTGCAAAAGTTACCCATATTCATTACCAATCGCATATAAATAGAAATTTTACAAAAACTTGCTCAAATGAGAATAAAAATGCAATGGAATATTCTGCAGAAATACACGTATGCAGATATCCTGGAGTAAAGATAAGCATACAGTATGTGGGTAATACTGAGCCAGTCAGTAATGAGTGTACCACTTCTGAATTGGTCAAGTTTTTCTTCAGAGTAAATTTTGATTAATGTGAACACAAAACAAACTGATCTATTAATTCTAGTTCTACTAAACATTCCATTCCCTAATACTATACATACCTTTAAATTCATATGCTGCAGCTTTATCCAAGAGGTCGACTTTCATTTTATCAACGGTGTCACTTATTACAACACGAATTTCATCTTGTTTACTTGATGCAATGGCCATGAGACTTTCATAGAGTTCAGCCTCTTTTTCTCGTGCATAACTAATTCTTCTAGGCGTGATTTGAATTTCTCGGGCCATGTCAAATGCAAACAAAATAAACTTTCTCATGCATCGGTTATGACCCTAAAATAGAAAAAAATATATACAATAATTCTGGAAACTAAGAAGGCACTGTGCTGTACCTTCATAAACATGATTTGACTGTTATAAAACAGTTATTTTACATTACTCTACTTCACTTACAAAACATCACAGCTCACTAAAGAAATTCCATGCATCATACAAAGAAATTCTCATATTAATTATTATCCAACAATCTGACTGCCACAAACACTAAAACAGGAGTTAGAAATCCTTCACATGCCATATGCTTTCTTTATCTAACAAAGCTGCTAAATACGTATGGCACCTGTCCAGCGAGTAAAAAATCAGCTCACAATTTCACACGTCTGACATAAAAAAAAAATACATCCTAATTATCCTGTCAACAACATTTTAATGTACCTGATTGAGAAGTGTAGATGCATGGATGAGGTGGGACTGTAGGATCATCCTAATATAATGCACAACATTACTAAAGGAATCAAAACCGTCCACCAGCTCACTGTCAACATGGTAGCTATGCTCTACTAGACGCCAACAGAATTTTTTAGGCTCTGGTGCCATGGTCAGGTAGCCTGTACAGAACGATATAAAAAGAATGTATGAAAACGAAGTGTAATAATCATTGCACATTTCATAAAAGAAATTAAGCTAAAACACACTGAAGTATTGTATACAGTGGAACCAGGAGTTTCGAAATTTCTTCATTCCAGAAGGCTGTTAAAGTGCTGATACTAAACAAATTTGTTCCCATAAGGAATAATGTAAATTAGATTAATCTGTTTCAGACCCCCCAAAAATACACTTACAAAAGCACTTACAATAATACACTTACATAACTGGTCGAGTTGGGAGCAGTTCGAAACTTGGGATGCCACTGTACTATAAACCTTTTTTAAAATGTTTGTCTTGCATTCATGGCTAATAGATATGAAACATTTTTAAAAGCCTCAACATAATAATTTGATGAAGTATACCTTTACCTTTGATATACCTTTGAAGAGTTTCAAGAGTTTCACTACTCTTGGAGCCCGGCCATGGGCCAGGCTTGTCTGGTGCTTGCCTGGTCGACCAGGCAAGTATGGAATAGAACATTTACTATCAACCCACAATTTGGACAGAAAATTTTGGATGATATTTTGATCCACCCTAGACAATTATTAAGTCATTATCAGTAGAGGCCTCTTAGTGATCCAGGACAGACAAAAGTATTGACTAAAGATAACCTCCAAATTGAAAGAGAGCATTGTTCTGAATGCACACACAAATGAAAGAACAAAAACACACACACAAAAAAACTCATCAACAGTAATAACAAAGAGGCCACAATTGCAAATGAAATGCTGAAAAACTTCTAGAAAATATTTCTTCACAAACACTGGTATATTACCCATATGTGACCTAGAAAGTACTTCTGGAAAGAAATTAAAAACAAATGACGAGATATTACAAACATAACTGCTACTGTGCACTGTGCCTAAGAATAGGTAATTACATGCCACATTAAGTTGTGCTCACAATTTCTGCAATTCATGCAACGCTTACCAAGATATGTAACACTTACCAAGATCATCACACAATGTTCGAAAGAGTTGCACAGGAACTTGTGGATGTGACCGTGATACTGTTGTGGGAATGACTGGTAGTGGGGCTTGCACCTCATCTGGTCGAACTGGAGATGGCAATACTCGTAATTTACAGAGAATGTCGTGCTGCTCTGATTCAGGAAGGTCATCACTGAAGGTCTCGGGAAGGTGGGGCACACGAATGAATAGAATGGATGTGCCTTTATCAGGACTTAGTCTTCGAAGCTCACGTAATTCCACGACTTCCTGTACAAGTAAAGAAGAAATTTTCTGTAGTAATATAAAAAAAATGATAGATAAAAATAAAACATTGAAATCAGCCCATGTATGTACTGTATATGTTACACTGAGGAGGATTTTTTTTTTTGTTTTTTTTGCATAAACCTGCTGCCTGTTTTCCAAGAAGATAGTGAGACTCAAAGAAAACATTTATTAAATCATCAATCACTCTCTAGCTGACTTTGATGAAGTACAGAAATATCACAAATCAAAGTCAGGGGCCCAAGACTGTTCGACTGCCTCCCAGTATACATAAAGGGGATTAGCACCAACAGACCCCCTAGCCATCTTCAAGAGGGAGCTGGACAGGCACCTAAAGTCAGTACCTGACCAGCCAGGCTGTGGTTCACATGTCTTTTTGCATGCAGTGAAAGTAACAGCCTGGTTGATAAGGTCGATCCACCATGAGGCCAGGTCATGGACCAGGCTGTGGGGGCATTGACCCTCAGAACACCCTCCAGGTAACATACCCACAACTGCTCCATCACACCTAAGAGTACAGGCACAGTACTTTTTAACCCCTAAGTTATCCATGACGTACATCATAGCAATCCGAATCCATGATGTACTAGTGCATACAATTTGCAGCGATCTCCAATTTTAGCGTAGACACGAGAGAACAGGTCAGTGAAAAGGGTGTGCACAGTATAAAAAAAAAAAATCCTTACATGGCCATACAGTGCATAATGGAAAAAGCTAACCTCTGACCCTGCATTTGGGCTACAATATTAACTTTGGGGCATTCTCAAATTAAAGTCATTTTAGAGGTTTTATTGGCTGCTTATTGGTGCCATAAGTAGGACAAAAGACACTGGTTGGTTTAAGACTAAGTGGCTTGAAATAAGCATCAAAATGACAGAAGCCATCAATTTTGGGCAATTTTCTTGGAGATGGGTAGCAACTCTCCCCCCCTCCATCAACACTCATTTCTACCTAATTCTTTTAATTCCTTGGCAATCTCCTGCTAACTCATCAAATGGCCGAGTTTCTGATGGCAATTGTAATGAAAGGCCTCAAGCACTTACATAATAATAATAATAATAATAATAATAATTATAATAATTATAATAATTAATAATAATATTTAGTTCTACATGTACAACGTATACAGACCTAGCTGACGTCAATGACATATTATATAGAAAGCCCCTTGTTATGCAGAGCATTTCGGGTAAATTAGGTTTATTTTATCTCCCAGGATGCGACCCACACCGGTCGGCTAACACCCAGGTACCCATTTTAGTGCTAGGTGAACAGGGACAGCAGGTATCTTAAGGAAACACGTCCAAATGTTTTCACCCGTACTGGGGATTGACCCCTGGACCTCAGTGTGTGAACTGAGTACGCTAGCAATCGAGTTGCGGCTACGAGCTACATCACATCCTGTATTTGCACATATATAAAATGTTTAAGCCATGTAGGTTATTTCGTGCACAGAGCGGTAAAGGCTCAATCCTTCTTTCACTAATCAAGAGATGCTACTTCGAGCTAGGCTGCCTAGTGAAAAAAAAAACAGGTTGGGTTGGTCCTGCCATATCCAGTGTCACCACGCCTCTTCAGATGTTATCTTTGATCTCCCACCAAACACCACTAAGTACATCCATCCCATTCCAGTTACTGCGCCACAACTGCCGACTACCTTCTTGGCATCTGTATAACACCTGCTGCCCTTGCTCACCTAGCAGTAAATATGTACTAACGACTTTGAAGATTGTTGTGGGTCGCATCCATCAAAGTAAGCCACAGCTTGGTTATCCTGGGTTAAATCAAAGGTTATCTAAATAATCTTTTTTCCTTCTTCTTAAAGAAGTTTAGACGAAACTTCTTTCGTTTAATAGAAAATTCTAAATGGAATTACAGCATAAAGATGTAAACATATTGATAAGCACTGCCAACATCAGTGTCAACAGAAGCCACAGATAACGGAATAAGCGTGTTAGGGACAGTAAGCTCGTGGCTTATCCACCCTTCAAGGGAGATGCTAAAGGGCTCTTGATCTGAGGAACTGGCGCTACTGTCTTCCTTGAATCAAACCCGATTACATCTCGTTCCCCAGACACTATGACCCCTACGGTTTACCCTTTCCCTAAAAGTATAATAAATATAATAATCACGGATTACCCAGGAAAGCAAGGTTATTGTTATCCGATCATTCTGACTGATCATGCGCCATGTACATCATCCATACATAAGAAGAATGGTCTCTAGACATTTAAGAAGAATCGTGCAAAACACAGTACACCACTATGTAGACCAATATTTAGGTATACAGTTTTAACAAATTCCTCCCACAGAACAGATAAGAACAAAGAAACGTGTGACAGACTTATCACAAGGCTGACACTAAAAGTCGGGATAGTAGACAGACCACAGGATTAAACCTAATAATCATTGGTGGTAAAACACCCGAAGAGACGTGATGCAAAAAATATTTCCAAGCTAGGCTGTATGAATATGTATATTATACATACATATTATATTCTATCACAGAATAAATTTATACTTAGGCCAAACTGCATATAAAAACCAAAATCCGTGTCATGTGGTTTAATAGTTATGCGACATCGGCAACAAAATTTGTAAAAGGCCATGGGCAACACAACCGTCAGACCACGAGATATATTGTACCAGACGAGGCTCTGTTCCAACGTGTCAGGACTAATAAGAACATAAGACTAATGGTCATAATACGGCGGGAACGGTACTATCCGTCAATTTACAATCGTGCCCAAAGGTCTGCCCAATTACGTGTTGATACCTAAATCCAGGATTAATGGGAGTATAGTATAGACAACGTGAAATGATAAAGATTAGTGTTTCACACATTAAGACAGATTTCAAAGGAAGGCTGATTTAAAAATCATACCCAAACACCCAGGACAGATAAATACCAATTAACCTGTTTAAAAAGAGCTTTGTAATTTCTGATTAGGTTATAACCCTGTGTAGTACCTCCATAAGTCTGTTTCTGTGAAGATGACCTAGAAAGTAGCTATGTAACTGTACCATATACAATCCGCTTTATTTATTGATACTTCCTAAAGTTGGTGATATTCAGACTAGCACACCATTGAAGTAAATATATATTTCCCGTTAGATATTCTTAACAGTATTTCCACCAATGAATATAGTAAAATAATAAAATAAGCCCCATTTGTGAATGTGCGTGTAAATCAAAGGGTCTCAACAAATAAAATATTAACAAAAGCGGACAAGGATTGACTACAAGGGAAAGGACCAGAACGAGGGGTAAAACGTGGACGCCACAGTGATGTAAGAACTAAGAATAAAGGAGAATGCATCAGGTGTAGGGATCGTGTAAACTAACACACACATTAAAATGTTGATATGGCAAAGCACAAGAGAATATGGAATCATCGCATCAATGGAAATTAAACAAATGAGCCAGATGGAGGAAGGTGTTTCCACAGAATTAGGTGGGAAGAAGGAATCTGATTCTTCCAGAGGGATGGGAACATTCCACTGACGTGGATCTTAAGTCATATGACACCCCCTTCAACAGAAAATTTGGTAATTTGACCGAGGTCTTCCGCTGGCTTACAGATCCACCCTGTCATAATACTCGTATTACATCATAAGAGTGGCACTGAGAGAATGGAACACACTGGAAGAAAACGCCACACTTAAAATTCAAATAGAAAATAAAACAAAACTTAGCAGTAGTTAACAGACATACTAAATGAAAACTAAACAGATGTAGATGAGTTAGCAGGTGGAGAAGCAGCAGCCGAGGGGCAATAGCCAAAGCGACTAAGTTTTAGCAACTAGTAACGATAGTTTTAGGCACAGAAACGCCTGAAGAAGCCAGCACTAAAAATACAAGAAAATAACAATAGAACAAGCAGGGAAAGCAGCAGCAAGGGAAAGTAAAAACAAAAACAGGAGCAGCAATAGTTAAAGAGGAACAGAAGCAAAAGTTACAAGAAAAGGAACAGAAGCAACAATAATGGACAGCCAGCAGTAGCAGTAATAATCTGGAGGGAGGGAAGCCGTACGAGGATGCCCAGTCACCTGTGTGGGGGAGCTCTTCACAATGCCTGCACTGCACGCATGCACGCACTGCACACACGCACGCACAAAATAAGGAATGACCAAGGAAATATGGAAGTCAGGAGAATAAAAGTGCTAATCAGAAATCAGATGTGTTTTGAGGAGATGAGTGGGATATATGTGGCAATAGACTAAGACCCATAGTGGGAGTGGCGGTGATTTACAACCCGCCGTCTAAGTTCTATAAAATAGATCAGGAAAACAGACCCACATGGGAGATAAGAATGGAGAGCTGAGATTGGAAGTGGTGGTTAGAGACTAATAGACAGACAGACTGTTTGAGAGACGGGAAACAGGCATGTGGGGGCATATCTGGAAGTAATTCTTCAGTCTCAGGGAGGTATGGAAATAGAATGCCCTGGAGTAATAGAGTATTCAAGAAGTTGCTAGTAGAATTACAGTAAATCAACCATTCAAATCATTATGAAGCTCTGTGTAGTCTGCAGTCAATCAAACAAACGGGCTTCCACATGGATAAATTGTCATTTTTGTGGAAATTGGTGTCACGCCCCTTGTGCAGATATCCAAGAACTAGCTACAAGCAGTATTAAAACAGGGAAGTGTTTTTGGGTATGCCCAAATGAGATAAATCTGTGGACTAAAATCACAAGGGTATTAAAAGAGGATAACATCAAAGCTGAACATTAAAATGGTATAAAATACCGACAGGTTGTTAGGTAAGACACATATGCAACAGTTGGGTATCTTTATTTCGAAATAAAGATACCCAACTGTTGCATATGTGTCTTACCTAACAACATCAAAGCTGCTTTCATAGAAAACCTGGAAGCTTTCTACAACAGATGGGAACATAAAAAGTCTGGGCTGAATGGTACTGCCCTTGATACTGGCCATGTAGTCAGAAACTGTAAGGCTGGAGGTGATGTCCTGGTTGT